CTTGACAGACGCCGTTGGTCGCAAATTCTCACCAAAATTATGGGCAGTCCATCCTGTGGTCAGTCACTGGTGGACATTAGATTAATTTTCAAGAGTCAGTTTGCATCGATGTGATTGATTTCAAGTAAGATCATGGAACGAAATTACCTAGAGGACCATCGAAATTCAGCGATCACTGAACAGCTATTTAGAATATTGTTTATATCACCAAAATATTTTAAAACGGTGGAGAATAACCAAACTATAACAAAGGGAATGAAGATCACCGAGTTTATACTTCATGTTACGCTATAAGAAAAAATAATTGGAGAAATTGGGTGTTAAAGGAAAAGGCACAGAGGCATGTATTAAAATACATTAAGTAACAGGTGGGCCAAGTGAATTTTAGGAAAACGTTGCTGGTAATCTTCTCACTAACATTTAATTTAGATATGGTTGTTGCCGCAATTTTGCCTTAGCTTCCGTTGTAGTATTATGAACAGGCCTAAATTTCTGAGAAAGGTTCGGAAAAATACATTGCAAGTGGTGATTTTACAAGAGATTGTATAGTCAAGGTGGCACGGTTGGGAGGGGAAAAGACGGGAAAATAGTCAGGAAAAGAGGATTTCATGGGAAGAACCTGTTTTGAAATGGAAAATAATGGAGAGGGAGTCTATTGAGGAACTTTGTCTTTTAGTAAGTTTATTGTTCCCTTGGGTTCCGAGTGGAACATAGGGCTTCAACAGTACATCTCCACTTTGTCCTACTCTCTGTGGTCCTCTTTAGATGGCCCTGCAACTGCCCATAGTCTCTCATCTCCTCCTCGCACGATTTCCTCTATGTTATCCTTGGACACCAAACTCGTCGTTTCCCACTGAGCTTCCACTCAATGGCCTCTTGCGTGATGTCACTCAACAGTCTCCTGAACGTGCGTTCGATCCATCTCCATTTTCTTCAGCATATTTTCTGAGAAACAGGTTCTCGACTAGTTCGTTCCCAGAGTTTCGTATAGCTAATTCTCATGAAGCGAAGACAGTTGTTGTTAAAAGTCTGTAGTCTGCTGAAAATGCCTTTCGTACCGCGCAGTGCAAGTTCCTAACCCATATAGAAGAAATGACTTAACACTGGAATTTAAAAAATCCTCACTTTGTTCTTTATGATGAGTGCAGTAGATTTCCAAACTAATTTTGCAATGATGAAGATGTAGTGTACATTGTACCTTCGAACTTTTGTTTGAATGAAATCAGCCTGACCTTTAAAACTCACTTCCACTTTGTATTCCTGATCCTCCTGTACGGTTTCGGTTTCGGCTCTCTCGCTGTGCTTTCACCTAGCACACTCTCCGAGCTTACACCGCCTCACCTGCAGATAAGTGTGTACCTCTTATTTCTTATCAAATTCTATATCTCTTTTGTGTAAATACAATTCTGTTCCAGTCACACTTGCTATCTCAAGTCTTTTAACCTTGATTCCGTTCGTTAGTACTTGCACGTTAGGCAGAGTACGATTAAGGCCATAAGCGGTGAAGAAGTTTTGTAAGGGTGGTTATTGTTAGGTCGAAGTTAATCCAAGTCCAACTCTTACAATCTACCTTGTCTTTTCCATTCTTCATCTGTGACGCCTGTGTTCGAAATGATGTTGCATTGATAACTGAAGGAAGTAACCTCTTTCAAATTTATTCCATTGATAATGACTTGTGCTTGTTGCTGATGGTTGTTTATATCCATCACTTCCGTCTTCTCTGTGTTCACCTAAAGTCCTGTCTTTGCTGTCTCTTCAGCCAACTTGTTGGTTCGTGTCTGTAGATCTTCGAGTTCGTGTGACAAACAAAGTTCAAATATTCTAGAGTCTTCTTGCCGGTTCGACGAACGCTCGTCTTCTCTCTTCCCACAGACGATCTCATGCATCACCAAGTCTACCGTAATTAGGTGAATTATCGGTGATAGTATGCATCCTTGTCTTGCTAGCGTATTCAATTCGAAGGCTTCACTGAGTTTTCCGTTGTGGGTCACCTGACATGTGGCATTGTCTAATAGCCAGTTGTTGAATGAGATTAATAAATACTTGGGCACTGCGTGCCGTGGTGTTGAAGTAATTTCCAAATTACTTCTCGGTCAACGCTGTCGAAGAACTTTTCGAAGTCAACGAAGTTGAGGTACATGTTTGATGATGCGTAGAGTTGCAATCTGATCAGCATATGATTTGTCTTTCCTGAATCCAGCTTGTTCATGACTGGCGGATTTCTCTACCCAGTGCATCTTTTATTATCTCCAGGATGAATCAACTTAGTATTTCACTTGGCGTGGACAAGCGCATTATTCCGTGCCAGTCCTTGCAGAGGCCTAAGGTGGTCTTCTTTGGCAGTTTGACGAGGCAACCTTTCTTTCAATCAGTAAGTACCTTTCCTCCCTTCCAAGCCTCTTGCAATAATGGCGTGAGTGCATCTACCACAGCCTCTGGGTCCGTTTTCAGTGCATCAAGGGAAATCTGTCTGGTCCTGCTGCCTTCACCTCTTCACTTCAGTAGCTTGATCGCATTTGGGAGTTCTGCTTAAGTTGGAGGATTGATGTCTACTGCCAGGCAGTTCTGTGCGTGCTGTTGATAGTATTTCTGGACGAGTTCCAGATGATGGTCGACTCAAGAGTCCTTTAAAGTGATCAGCCCATTGTTTTATTTGTTTCTCCTCCTTGGTGATCAGGTTCCCTTGAGCATCTTTTATTGGTTTCATCATCTGGGTTGATCTCTTCCCGGATGGAGACTTGGTTATCTGATAAAGCGTCCTGACGTCTCTTTTGCCTGCGGCCTTCCTGTTCTGCTTCAGTTACCAGCTAGTGTGTCGTAAAATTGCCTTATTTCTTTCCTAGCACTATTTTTAACTTCTCTCATTATTCAGTGTTGTGTACATTGAACTCAGCTTCTCCTTCTGCTGTTCATCTCTGTATTGATTTATCCTCTTTTTCATCCTCCTCCTCTCCCCTCTTCTATTAGCTTCCAGGTAGATGTCCGTTGAGAGCCATTCCTTGTTTTGTCTCTTTCTTCTTCCTAGAACAGTCGTACACGCTTCCTTAAATATTGCTTTCAGAGAGTTCCAATGTTCTTCCGGGCAGGTTTCCTCCGTGATACGACGTAGTATTTCCGACTTTGCTCTGGTCTGATTTGTAGTGAAGGCATCCCTTGTAGTTTCTGAATATTGAACTTGAATTGTGGTCTGTCTTCATTTGTTTTCATGGATTTCAGCTTCACCTTGAAGGTTCCTTCAACTAGATGATGGTCTGATTATCTGATATAATGTCCTGAGGTCTCTTACCTAAGCCTGTCCTGTGCTGATTCAGTTGCCAGCCAGTGTATTATATAATTCTCTTTTGTCTTTCCTAGCTCTTTTCTTCACTTCTTTATTCAGTGCAGTGTATATTGAACTCAGTTTCTCCTGTTGTCCATCTTTGCATTGATTCATCTTCTCTTTCACCATCCCTCTATCCTCTCTGCTATTAGCTTTGAGGTATTCGTTGAGAGCCACTCCTTGTCGTGTCTTTTCTTTCTCCCTAGAACAGTTGTACACGTTCCCTTGAACATCAGCTTCAGCGAGTCGCAGTGTTCTTCCATGCAGGTCTCCTCAGTGAATCCACGTAGCGTCTCCGACTTTACTCTGATGACTGGTTTTTGTAGCTTTGTCCTTCAATTTCTGAGTGTTTAACTTGAGTTGTGGTCTATCTCCAGTTGTTTCGATGATTTTCAGCTTCACCTTTAGGGTTTTGTGAACTAGAAAGTGGTCCCAGCCCACATCTGCTCCCCTTCTCAACTTTGTGTCCAGCAAACTGTGTCTCCTGTTTATACAGGAACATTGAGGTGAAGTTCGCCTGACATCTGGTGTATCAGTCAGATGAAATCCATGTTTCCTTGCGCATTATCTTGTGCTTGTACACGCTGCTTTCATCCACCAAATCACTGAAGGTGCAGACGTCTGGGAAGAGTTCTCCATTGTCATTCATTTTGCGGACAGCCTTTTGACCCATAATGAGTTCTCAGCCTGTATTGTTTCCTCCCAGTATAACCTTTATAACGCCCATAAGGATTCTGGCGTCTCCATTTCGGATGCTGACAATTACTGTTTGCAGTTATCTACAGAAATCTTCCTTCTCTTGTTTTCAGTTGTCTGTAGCTGCGTAGCATTCCAGAATTGCACCACAGCGTACTATTTAGTCAGGGTGCTTTATCACGTTCCTCAGTTTTACAAGTTGACTTAGACAGTGGAAATGAGCAGCAAGTGTTGAGTGGAAAATACAGTGGACTGATAATTTTGGGGAATTATTTACCGCTACAGTATTTAGGATGAGGCGAATAGAAGCGTGACACAAAGCGACATACTTTCACACACTTAAGTCATTGTGGCACATTATGACAGCTTTAATACTTACCCTCTTTGCTGATTATCTGGCGAACTTAGATTAATAGCCTGCAAGTGACGTTAAAACAATTGCAGTAGTCATTTTACACACTTTTATCGTCATTTCTATTATTAAACCTGTAAGTGTACAATGAAGAACTAAGTGATTTCGAGAGAAATTCCAGAGAAAGGAAATTTCAACAACTCCTACTGACCAATTCAGGAAATCAAAGTATAATTTAGGTTAAACTTCCCACATATACATCCTGCGATGCTTACAAGATTAAGAAAAATTCAATTAATTTCAACACTGGATACTGGAATACGAAACTAATGCATTTCACAAAGTTCGCACTCAAATTCACCCAACACTTTAACCTGGAAAACAGCAGTGGAAGCAGACAGTTACCACTTATTTCTGAATTTACTTCGATATATGCTTCCGAAAATATACTCTCAGTTTACATGTAATTCAGTAACAATTTAATGCATTTCATTACCTTGTAGTAAGAATTGGAATTTATAGCATTTTCTACCAAAAGAATTTTATAAGATTTCGATTTACCATATTCTAAAGTTTAGAATGAAGGCAGGGGTATTGTTTTATTGCACTGCAAATGAAAACTAGTTCCATTGTGTCTGGGTCACTATCAACCGCTGTAGTCAACATTGCCGTCAGATGGCAGTTGTGGAAGCGGGTCACGGGGTAGACTCGTTACCTACAGAGAATCTTCCAAACTACCAGTTAGAAATCAATAATACAGAAGAAAAGTTCGACAGTTTTCAGTCAATTTTATAAACTTTTAGTTATTCAGACACATACGGATCCTCTTGTACTCGTTGTGGTGACCCGTTTCAGCTAAATGAAAAAGTTGTACAAACGAAAGACAGTAGCTATCACGTGAAGTGTTTTGTGTAAGACAAATTCGAAATCCTTACTCAACTTTTTAGCTGTGTGCAGTGCTTTCAACCATTTCCTGATGGTGTGTACTATGAAGTAAATCTGTTAATAAAGTGTTCTATATTTACAGTTTGATGGCCGGAAATACTGTGAGCACGACTTTCACGTTTTATTTGCACCTTGTTGTGGAAAGTGTGGTTAGTTGTTGTAACGTACATGTCATCTGCTAGGTTGTTTTATAATTGGTAGGGTTATAAAAGCGATGAATTTCAACTGGCATCCTGACTGTTTCCGTTGTCAAATCTGCGATAAATGTCTTGCAGATGAGGGTTTTGTAAAATTGCATGGAAGGTAACTATATTTTTAGTGCAAATATTTGAGCTTGTAATATTTGTTTTGTGTTCGATATTAACTATTCATAGTCTTTTGTCCTCAGCTATGGTTATCTATTCATCTCATTGAAGAGTAGCATAACGTAAATGTCCTACTAAGTACTGTATATGCAAGCAGGTGACACTCAAATGTTGTGTTGTTTAATGATAACCTTTTATTTTATGGTTTTTTTATTAGTTATCAGTATCATGGTATTCCCTCGCTTTGTCGTTATATACACGATGACTAAACTTATTATCTCCATTCCTGTCTAATTAAAACATAAATGCTACGAATTCAGATTCAGATTATAAGGATAGAAGGCTCTTGTTGCCTATGTTAATCCTCGCGATATATATCTCTGCAGAGATCCAGTTTCTCTTTGAGTGTTCACCGATGGAGCTGTTACTACTGAATCAGGTAAGGAGTTCCAGTCGTTGACCACTCTGTGAGAGAATCTAAACTCCAAACGTATTTTATTCGACCTCGGTTTGAGCACCTTCTTCTGGTGACCCCGTAAATGTATCCTAGAGGAAGAGAAAAGGTTTGAAAGGTCAATCCCTAAATCACCCTTGAATATACGGTAAGCCAAAATTAAGTCGCCTCTCCTCCTTTGGTATGATAATGGGAAGAGATTTAAATGCTCCATCCTCATATCATAAGGAAGGTGTGAGATACCGCTAACTAATTTCGTTCCTACCCTCTGTACTCTTTCCAGGGTATGTGCCTCCTTTTTGAAACATGGACTCGCCGCTTGTATGCAGTACTCTAGATGAGGCCTGACATATGTTGCATAGAGTACTTGGAACATACCCTCGTCTAATCGTTTGAAAGCCCTTCGAATTGCCCATAGCATTCGAAAAGCCTTAGCTGCGGCTCGATTACAGTTTGCCGTTGTTTTTAAGTCATGGCTAACAATAATTCCGAAGTCCTTTTGTTCCCTAACATCTGGCAGTTCTGTGTCCCCCATGGAGTACGATGTGTAAGACTTCTGACCTAGGTGCATTACCGCGCTTTTCTTGGAATTAATTTCCAGACTCCAAAGGTCAGCCCATTCGGCTAATTTGTCTAGATCGTTTTGTAGTACCAACCTATCGTCGCTACTATTTACGTTTTTCCATATCTTAATATCGTCCGCAAATAGTAAGGAAGATGAGGTAAGAATTTTCGGCACTTCATTTACGTATAATAGGAATAGCAGGGGGCCAAGTACAGTTCCCTGAGGTACTCCACTTAGTACTGCTTTCCACCCTGACAGTACATCATTGACCCTTACCTTCTGCCTCCTATCCATCAGGTAGTCACTAAACCACTCGCATAAGCGTTGGTCTAATCCAAAATGTTTAAGTTTACTAAGAAGACCTAAATGGGATACCTTATCGAATGCTTTACTAAGATCGATAAATACAACGTCCAGTAGATGGTTTTTATCCCTGGCCTCTACCCAATCTTCCCTAGCTAACAGTAAGTTTGTCAAGCAGGATCGTCCTGGTCGGAATCCATGCTGTTCCACTGCCAGTAAGCAATGTTTTTCCGTATGAGCTAAGAGCTGATCCCTTATGAGTTTTTCTAACACCTTTGCTATAATGCAGGTCGGACTTACAAGCCGGTAGTTAGATACTAACTGCCTGTTCCCATCTTTGAAGATGGGGCTTATAAAACCATCTTTCCAGTCCCTGGGTAGCCTAGCCTGGGTCAGAGACATCTGAAAAATCTCCGTAAGTGGAATGTATATTATATCCGCCAAGGAGATTAGCAGTCTAGGGTGAAGTCCGTCTGGTCCAGGTGATTTATCTGGCTTCAACTTAGACAGTAGTTTCAGAACCACTGCATCATCTACCACAATTGGGGGCATTTTAGGGGCTACATCAGTTACCTCGCTACACCCCTGAGTGGTACGATTAGGCGAGAAAACATCACAAAAGTATTCGGAAAGCTTCCCAGCTTTTGTTTCGTCTGACTCAGCAGCCTCTCCTGTGTTGCTAATGAGTGACGGTATACCACTGCCAATTTTAGTCCTGCGTTAATTTTGGATAATGCACACAATCCAGTACTAACTGTCTCTCATACTCTATACGACTTTTGTCAATCTCATACTTACAAAGGTTTCGAACTTTGCGGTATTCTACCCAAAACTCATCCCTCCCAGTCACAGCAAACTGGTCCCATAAGTTCTTTCGTTTTCTTAGTAACCTCCTTATTTCATTGCTAATCCAAGGTGGTTTATGAGATAGTTTTCGAGGCGTAGACCAAGGTACAAAGGGTGCAGTGACGCACTCTAGTGTGTTCCTAAATCCCATCCAAGCCTCCTCGACAGTCTGGTGTGTATTAACAGACCAGTCAGCTAGGGTTGCTGCATTTCGGATTGCAGGTATATTCGCTTTCCAAACGTTTGGGCGAGCAGCTGTTGACCTATGTATGACAGCCTGAATACTAAACATAAGTGATAACTATGTGGTCACTACTGCCTAGCGGCGCCAGGCACCTAATGTCACCGACATCCTGCTTCTGGTGTGTTAGCACCAAGTCTAGAGTGGACGGATCATGTTCAGGATGGTATCGTGTTGGTGCATCTATATGCTGCACAAGTGCGCATTCAATTACTGCCAGTATGAGTTCCCTGTTGAAACAATTGTACGAAGCAGCTGATGTTAATTCCTCCCAATTAATATGTGGAGCATTAAAGTCACCTACTATTAGACACCTATTCTTTCTACTCCACGTCCTGAGGTGATTTAGAACAAAATCGTCAGCTTGGCTGGTAGGACTTCTATAAATAACCCCAATCGTCACAGTGCCTTTGTTCAAGTTAATGACACAACCTGTGGCTTCACAGGTGCCACTGTCATGAGCTTCCGACAACGTCGACCTAATTCCTATGTCATCTCGGATGTATAGAGCAACCCCCCCCCCACCTTTCCGACTACTTACTCTGTCTGCTCTAATGCAGATGTACCCAGGTATGAGTGGAGTTAAGTCTATACCCACTAACAACCATGTTTCGGTGATAGCAATCACATCCGGCTGTAGTTCCTCAGTCAACACTCCTAGTTTGGGAAGCTTATTCTTAAGACTACAAGCGTTCGTGTAGCATACTGAGAGACCTATGTGTTCACTCGACTTATGAACAGAGGTCTGGGCAACATAGGTTTCCGAGACCTCGCTACCCGAAAACCCAACAGTTTGAGGTCTTTTTCACCTTTTTATAATCGAGCCTTTAATTCAGCCATTCATAGGCCTTTATATACCAAGGTTTACAGTCGAGCACACTAAGACCCGTACTTGGTTACCGGGTTTCACTTAACTTCCTCATCTCATTGAAATCACTATGATACTTATGCGTAATCTTATAGTTCATAATACTTCTAATTGGTGTTTGTCTGTGGTATTTTAGGGTACACCGCTTCATATAATCATATTAATACGTTTAATATGCTTTCCTACGGATAGTAAAAGGTAGATTGGTAAAGAGAAATTCACAGTACTTATGGGAATGTAGAATAGTTGGAATGGAGGTCGCTTTTTAATCTTGTATCCAGCCATCAGCGAGAAATCTTCATTAAGAAACGGTTCTTAGTATATGATGTTTACACAGTCACACTAGCTGTTTTTGATTCCGTCTGTAACATTTTCATATTAAAGAATAATGTTAAAGTAGCGAAGTCATTACATTGCTGTTAATAAAAGTTATGCAACGCACTTTATAGTCTCAAACAATTATTTAGTCTATCAGATCTCTGAGGTTTGTAACGTGAACTGGTGTATACCAGGGTACGAACCACTTGTATGTAGACTGACGACGCTACATAGCCCCTCCTAGGTTAAATTAAGTGAAGCAGGTTTGAATCCATGACTAACTGATTAAATATCAGGTACCAATGAGCTATGTGCCCTCGTATTCAAAGAAACTTCCCTCGAGGAATTTTCTTGTTTTGATAGGATCAGTTTAATCTACACTTCAAGAAAAAAACACTTCCCTATATCCAGTATACGCATATCTTGTTGAGTTATATGAAATGAAGTTCGAAGGGGTGCCACTTAAGGTCGCATAATGCAATGAAAGAATGAAACAAAAGAATTGATATTACGATTGAAATGCGAATAGAATATAAAGCTATGTTGCTTGAATCGAAATAACTTTTATTTCGCCATGGGGTAGTATGTAAGACATTTGTGAATCAGAAATGTTTATAATAAATGTTCAGTTCAGGTGTTAAGCTGTAAAAGTCCTAGGCTACTTACGATAGAGAGTTTATCACAGTGCGTTTTCGTCTGAGCTGCAGGTGGTTAGTGGAATTCTGTTACTAATGTTTGTTCTTTCTGTTTTCAAATTTATGGAGGGAAATTTCTGTACAAAATATATTTATAGTTTCCTGACATATGTTTCATTCTAACTGTTATATTTTTTTTACCATGATGCTAGAGCTGTTTGCCACGCATGTAATGAGCACGAGAAAGCATCGGGCTCGTCATACATCGTTTGTCACAAGTGCCGAGCCGTTGTGGAAGAGGGACAACAACTGAAATATCGCTCCGAAGTATACCATGCGTATCATTTCTCATGTGCCTCTTGTGGTTCTGAGCTCTCCTCTGATGCCAGAGAAAAAGATGGAGATCTATATTGTCTTCGTTGCCACGACAAGATGGGAATTCCTATATGCGGTGCATGCAGGTAAGTCACATTTTGTAAGGAATATATCTGTTTCGTAGTAGCTGAAGTAGATTCATTCCTTGTAACATATCCTACCTTTATAAAAGCGTTTAAGATGTTCTCTGCTTGTATATAGCATTATGTATCCCAAGTCATTGCTGAAACATATTGCAACGGAGACTTTTGTTCTAACTGCGATGGTTTTCAGAAAAGAGACACAGTAAATAAGTAGTGGCTCTACACTACATCTTTCAGCCTGAGATCACGTCTATCCAATATTTCACCCCTCTTTCTGGATTTAACACAATTTGGCGGTCAGGTAACTACGGAACAACAAATTGAACGGAGAAATATATTCCTTTTCAATCAGTTCCTCATATTCGACTCTACACTAATATGTAGTTGTTTACATCAAAATTGTACCGTTCATGTGGTAGTTATTTTAATCCTTAAGAATTGTCAGTTTTAGGTACAAAATATCTAAACAGGCAAGCCAAGGATTTTTTTAACACTCCCCATAAAATTCAGTCTTTACAGTGGGAATAGCGCTAGAGTGTGGGTTAGGTATTAACTTGCTTTTTACATGATGGCAGTTTTAATTATCGATTACATATTTCATATGTAACATAAACACAAACACCCTATCTTCAGGTAATTAATGTTAGCTGAAAACTATGCACAAATGTCTGTCTAATAATTTTGACGGGAAAACAATTTTTCTGTTCTTAAATCGATATTTATGGAATTTAATCTTAAATGATTTTTCACATACAATCAATAACTGTCAAAATATTTTTGTTTTTGGGGTCACAATTTCAGGCGTCCTATTGAAGAACGAGTTGTCCATGCTTTGGGAAAAACATGGCACGTAGAACATTTCGTTTGTGCTAGATGTGAGAAACCATTTTTAGGTTCTCGACATTATGAAAAGAAAGGATTGGCTTATTGTGAATTACACTATCAATTATTGTTTGGAATGCTGTGCTACTCTTGTAATCAAGTTATACCTGGCGAAACAGTGTATGCTTTAAACAAAGCATGGTGTGTAGACCATTTTGGATGCAGTGTGTGCGATAGACGTTTAAGTCCTAAGTAAGTGTATTTTGTAATTCACTAACATTTAACATCTCCATATGAATTGAAAACATTCAAAGTGCAGCAGCTTCCGCCCGCTTCTATTGATTTTGCAATACATCAAGTTATGCAGGGGGAATGAATAGTTGTAGGTGGCTTAAAGTCTTCTTTTTTCTGTCTTTTGTATGAACATTTCCTGTTCAGTTTCACGGACAAGACATTCACAATAGTAAATGCTATATCAGAATAAAGACACAACTCTAAATACTTCTTTATTATTGGAAATTACGTAGCAGTAGGCTTCTCATCATACTACAGTTCAGAGGGACAGTTGGAAAATAAACACACCATGTAAAGTTTGTTTTAATGAGACACATTGTAGGCTACAATAAAACTAAGATGAACTTGCCGTTCGCGGTTAAAACAGACCATTAGCAGTGATATGACTTCGGATGTATGACGTATCTGTGGTGGCCTGTTGATTAAACCAGTCAAATTGTGAATTCGTATAGTGAAATATAGTAGGCCTATGTCTGCACATCAGAAAATCCGTTCACTAGTTATACCAATTAACTATTTGGGTTTGGAAAGTAGACATTTACATCAAAGACAACTGCTTGCTTAGGTAGCAGCACCATAAAAGTCAAGGAGAAATAGCAAATGACCAGCTGTATAACTTAAACGTATTCACATTACTGACCTTATTACCTCGTACTTTCATCCTAGCTCTCCAATTTCGGTACCCCTTGCTTATTCTATATGTCTTCAGAATCAAAGTAGTAGTTTCCGGTGTGATAGCCACTTTATGAAAAAACTGCTGCTCGAGTGTCTTTCAATAAGTTTGTCAATAATTCGAATACGAGTCTACGTGAATAAAGAAAGGGTTTCTGTTGGGACAGTAAGAGTAAATACCGGAGTGAAGGCAACAAATCTACTTTGCGGGGGATTAACTTGCTTAGATCACACTTTACAGGGTGACTTTCATTTATCCTTAATTACTTTTCCGTTATGTCCTTTGGTTCACAGGACAAAGTTCTATGAATTCGACTACAAACCAGTATGCAAATCGTGTTACGAACTCTTCCCTATTGAATTACGTAAACGCATCGCGAAAATGCACAAGATGGAAGACTAAGGTAAACGAAATTCAAGCCTGTGGTGCGTTATATGAAATTTTTTTCTTCAAAAGTGCCAGCGCAATCTGACAATGCTTTTAATACTAACATAATATCTCTTTATTTTGCATCTTTGCTTTTTGACTTGCTTAGATTTGTAAATGGATTTAGTGTTTTTGGCTAAATTAATGAACTTTGAAATAAAATGATTAAAATTATATATTTAGTTTTAATACAAAAACAATGAGAAGTGAACATTGAAATATTATGGGAATAAGAAAAATGTAGAACTGTACAAGTATTTTTGGTGCATAGCTGCATCGGGATATTAAGATGGTTGTTGGGAGGTTTCTGTAGTTGGAGTAACCAGATTCACAGGTTCTTCTTTTGTTTCAGGCTGCTTTTGAATAGATGCTGACTGTGCATTTTTGTTAGCAGTAAGCTGCTGTGTTAGCTTTCCTAGAAGACCTGTATGACTCAGTTGTAAACGTTGAGTGACAGGAGGTAGTCGAGGCAATAAGTTAACCAGCCGTGCAACGTCTTGTTTCATATCGACCAGAATATCCTCCATAAGAGTCAGAACTGTAACAAAACAAAGACACCGATAAAAGTGTTAAATACACATGTAGGAAAGAGAAATGGTAGACGTGAATAGCTCATCTTTCGCATACACAGAAACTTTGCATAAGTAGTAGTTCTATACAATAGATCTGTTGCTGTTTTCAAGCCTTCTGTTAATTACTATTTTTATCGTCATGAAGTTATGATTTTTGGAGAAGATTCGTAACTATCCTTCAAGTTTCATCAGCTTGTTGGCTCATTAATGCGAAAAATCAGACAAACAGTGTTAATGAAGTGGAGATGTGCTTTCAGTTATCAGTCCTACAAATATTCGCATTAAAATGATGGTGACTGGGCATAAACAGACCACTCTGAAATCATATAACTTACCTTTGTGTAACAATGGAACTAAAGCTTTGTTACCGGCCAAGGCATCATTGAAAAGATGCAACTGTCCTGTAGCCAGACACTCAAGCTCAGTGAATCGTCTATTTAAACTTTGTATGTGTTCCGATTGATCTGCTGGAATATTTAGAAGGGCTGCTCGACGGAGCTGTTCCTCGATTATTAAAGCTTGTTCTAACAACTTAAAACGACGGGCCAAGAAACGATTTTTAATTTCTAAGTAGTTGGCTTTTTGAGCTTCATTTTTAAATGGTTCATTCACAATTGCATAATGCGGGTCATTATGTATATCCTGTAGGAAATATTAAAATAAACCAAACGGCAATATTTAGGGGAATTAAACTAACACAGTCAGTGAAGTACAAATTATATGGTGCTGAAATATGACAAAACTTTAGGTAATGAGTGAATCCGCAGTCAAAGTGATCTCAAACATGAATCAGGAACAACCACCAAATGCGTCCGTATTAGGCGATACGACCCACCATTTAATTTCTAGGTCTACATTGTCACTTGATACTGTGCTTCACAGTTCTTAAATGAATTAAGTTAAATTCCTACCAAATAATATTGGACAGTCCAATCACAACTAACGCTAAAAGGGACTATAGAGTTAGGAAATAAAAGTTATCAAAAATTTACAGAGATAGTGAGTGAGCCTTTACAGCTAATCTTCCATAACACATGTGAAACATTTACTACGAAGAACGACCACCGAGAAAGTATTTTTACCTAACGCACATTCCGGTGTGATAAGAAACTGTTACATCTGTAACCCATATGCATTGGCACGTCTGCTGCTGTGATCACTATTCTTTAGCTTTGTTCTTGATTATTTACAAGATTCAGACAATATCTTATATTAGTAACACTTACTTGCCATCTGCCATATCCGTGTTGCACTACACCAGCTAGAAGCCAGTAGTCGTGTCGACGATGCCAAATTTCTGCCTCACGATTTTTTATCAATGCACGCTGTTCATTCAACCAGATAGTATGAAGTTCAGTGAAACCACCATCCGCAATATTAAACATGAATTGATGGCTGGCTACGTCAGTTTTGTCAGTGTTTTGTGAACCTTCCGCATTTCCATTTTCCCTCTCGTTTATACATTCCTTAGCAACATCTGAAGAATCAGCAGTCGTCTCCACCTAAGTAGAAAATAATAGGATATATTAAGTCATAAAGCTGAACAATAAGAGGGATTCGGGCAAATAAAAAATACTCTGTGTTGTGACACAAAGCACCACGCATATATTTTAAAAGGTGAACGCACGCTTTTTCTTTATTTTAATGGGAAAACCTAAAATTTACTGGTTCTGAAGACTTCGTATTCATCAGATGAGGCCTTTCGGTGTAACGATAACCATTGGTTAATGATTTGGTATTTTTATTTTAAAGACTTTTGACTTTGAGATAAAATGACGCCATATATACTTCCTGTTTACTTGTTATTACTACGTTTTTAATCCCTAATTGCATAAAAGGTCAATTTTCTCAATAATTATGATATAAATCCGGTCTTCCTGTTTATTTTGTTATTATTACATTTTATTCCTTGTTAATGTGCCTCTCGACCGTAAATAGTTCTGGAACTTTCTCACCAATTTACTATATATAAGCCAGTGTACAGCCTAGTTGATGACTTCGTCGAATTGTCTTCACTGCAACCGTCTTTTTAATTTTTCCTACGATTTCATGTGCATATTAATTGATCTGAATAGCAACTCCTAAAAATTCGCATGAAACTATGTATTACTGATTGACTGGAATGAGTAGTTCGATACCACTCACATCAACCAGCGGTGCTTGCTAGCCACATCGAAATGACCTAAGTACCAGACGGTCATTTACGCTCGTTTGGGGCCCAGCTCATCAGTGATGTGCCCGGTTTGACTTAACTCAGACAGCCGAATCAGTTCAAACTACGCGACTTCTCGCTCAGACCCAAACGAGCGAATTAGCCATCTGGTGTTTAGATCCTTTCGATCTGGCTGGTAAACACTTTGTGGTTGATGTGAGTGGTAGACAACTACTCATCTCGATTAATCAGTAGTATTTATGCTTGCTTTCTTGATTACCATTTATGGTATATCAAGCAGACCAGACATATCGTGATGTAAATAATTTCGGTTTCCAAAAGAAACTGTAAGGAAATCTCACCTCGAAGTGTGTAAATCACAAATTGCAAATTCGATTTACAGATAGAATTTCGAAAACATCTTAAAGAACTGATGCATGCCTGACTAATAACAAAAAGCACCTTACAGAGTTTACTAGTCGATACATCGAATATTTTTTGCTGTGAAATTCATAACCTTATTCATCATACCGTAGAGTGTCAAGACATTGTTAAAAAATAGTTCAATAACATATACTCTAAGAAAACACTTTTAGAAAATTAGTTGAGGGAGAAATAATATAACGGTAACGTCTTCCCCTGGTTGAATGTGCAGTATGTGTATGTTACACATATGTTCAGAGCGGTTCCTCGTTAACGCTCGAAATACCAACAGAAAAGGCAACCAACCGGACGAAAACACAAAATCAAACCACTGCGTATGCATAAATTCATGTGAAAACACTTATAACGGTTGTTGTCTTTATTATCTAGCAATGTAAATAGTAACTAGGATTTCGTTGGATGTTGTACTCGAAATCTCGTCCTTTAGCTATTTACACTAGTACAACGACCTTTGTCTTAAAATGATTTGTCATCCGAACTTTAATGGAGGCCTTTCACAATCCATCTCTCCCATTTTCATTGATTACAGTGGTTACTCTATAGGCATTAATTTTTAGTATCTTGAAGAAGAAACAACCAAATAGCTGCACTTAGAGCTATCACAGTCGATATTTCATTTATTACCGAGTGCAAAAAAGAGAGTGAGTGAATCAACAAAATGTAGGCGTACCTTTGTATTTGTTTGTGGATCATCTGTCACCTTATTTTGTCCAGCAATTACACGTAATTCATCAATTTCCATAGGATCAGTTTTATCACTCGCCTTAGAAGCATCATCCGCTAAACACGTTTCATCTCCTGTAGTACCGCTGCTCACTTTGGTGTTAACAGTTTTCTCCTTACCAAGAGAGTCAACATCACTAATCACTGGTTGTTTATTATTATTACTATTATTATTGGTTTCTGTGACTGCAGAACAATTCTCCACATCTCCAACATTCTTTGTTAATACTACTTCATTGGGATCCTCTGTCTTCGGTAATTCTGCATCTTTATTTTCTGGTTTCGGTTCTAACTCTGGAATGCTCCAGTGTCCGTTAATCTTTTCAAATTCTTGAACCTACCACAAAGTGAATGAAAACAAACTTGAAATATATTATTCAAAGTAATTTATTGCATAGCATCTTCAATAAAATTTTTACACTATGATAAAACTTAACAAATTTAAATCAGTGCTACCTACTTACATCCTCTAACCAGTGATATTTTATTTACTATGAGAAAATATTAATTCAAAACATCACATCATGCAATTAGAAAACAAATTTGGCACAAAATCGAAAATAACAGATTAGCCATACAAAATAAAACCAAAATGTACGCAAAATAGAATATAAAATAATTGAGAGGTAACAGGAACAACAGTAAACATACTTTCCAAGAATACTATAGAATGAACATTCCTTATTTCGAATGAACGCCGAAAAAGAAATAAGAATACTGCAGCATATTCACCAATCATTTTGATTCTTGAATTGAAATGTTACTCAACAACCACTTACAATTGCATGCAGTTGGCAATGAAGGCCAGTGATATTACCTGGTTGTCTAAACCTAAACGGGAGGCGAAATGGATTTTGATCCCGTGTCCCGCTGACTGGAAGTCAGGTGCCTAAACCAATGAGCCACATTTTGATTTTTAGTCTAATTTGATAACATTTCAAGCCGCTGAGTTGCATGATCTCTTGGGACCCCACTCAGGGAGTCATTTATGCACCAATAGATGCCACTTCAACACAACTACATCTCACCTACAATGCTATGTCACAGGTTGACCACTATTCCATTCAGTCTCAGCGCCAGCAAACAGTGAATTTTAAACATGATGAATAACACTTTATGTAGCCGAATGACGACACAATAAGCCCTATTGAAGAAGTTGACTGTACTTGAAAAATGTGTATTAAAAAGGACTGCTGTTTTCAGCCAGCCACGTGTGAAAGTGTAGACTGCCTGGTTTAGGAATTCTGGATGCTAAGAATCAATCGCTGGAGACTATTGGTGATATAACTCAGAATCGTTTCCAGTGGTGGAAGTGTATTCATCTCCAGATCCTTTAAATTCTCATGTTTCTTCATGGTACTCGTCTTTCTTTCATACATTTCTACTTACTGTAGTTCGTTTGAATTTCTCCTTTCTCTATGTTTGTATGCTACATGGAGTATAGATACTTGAACTGTTGTAATTCTGTGTAAAGTTCTAGTTGAAACTTAGCCATTCATTCACAGTTTGTCTGTTTATAATGCATACATACTTATATATACTGATTTCTATGAAAGACAGTGAAAAGATAAGGAAGTAAAATGACACACTGAAAATAACAAACTGCTAATAATAATATAAAGTGAATATGTAGGTTTTCATAAAATATACACAAAGACTCACTTTCTTGCGTACAAGGGTCATTATTCCAATACGACTTAGAACATGCTGAGTAGATAGACCTTCACGGGGTACGCCATCACTGAAACTTTCAGAATTTTCAGTCTCAGGTTCACACAGATGACGCATAAACAGACAAATGTATGCTCTAAATACACGATCAGGTTTACATCTCAAATCTCTGACCATCCATGGCTGATCACTTGGAGGTAGTCCATACCTATATATTTTTTTATTTTTTTTAAATATAATAAGATTAGCAGCATTTAAGGTATCACACACATCGAAAACCAAAGTAAAAATCAAAAATAAGCATAAAACATGTTTTCAATTATAACAACAATTCTACATAGTTTAATGAAACAATAACTAACAGATTATTAAATGGCTAAAAGAAGTTACTTAGACTGGAGTGACTTAAGTTCATATGTATTGTCACACCACCCATCATTTCACAATTCTAGGTAGATTATTGTCAGCAGAGTTAACAATAGTTTACTTCATTTATTTGTATTTTATACGTATATATGAGACTAGGGAGAGTTATAGTGAATAAAATATAACTACTACGACACTTTTGACTAGGCAAAATGAAATGTCCATACTGGGTTTCGAACCCAGGACTCTCCGGTTACAAGACAAGCTCGTATACCATTCAGCTACTGAAAACCAAAATTACACACCCACTGGGTTTCGGTTCAACTGTAGAACGCACACCACCAAGTTCCGGGGTTCGATTCCCGGTCGACGCACTCCTTAACCTCGCTAAGCTGATCGTAGGACCGACAAAGAGGGAAGGTTGGGTGTGAGGTAAGCAACCCCACCCCACCCCGTAAAAAATGTAATGTTTTCGATAAACGGATTTTTTCAGCTTTAAGAAGGATTTAACACTAATTATCAAAGCTGACAGAGAGGCGACAAAAAAACTCAACCTACTTAGCAGTTAGCTAGTTTTCTTTCATTATTTCGAAGTACTTTTGTAATAACAGATAAAATACAATAGATAATAACGTGAGTACTATTGCAAGTAATGAAAAATTTCATACTTTCAGTAAATATTAAAACAAAATAGATAATATATTTATGTTAGTAAAGTTTACTGATGATAAACTTGTAATATTAATAGCTCTAAGTACCATAATCTCTATGACTACCATGTCTAAATATAAAGTAGGATGAAGTAACACTTGAATGGTACTCACAAATGTAAGCAAAAAGAAATTTGATAATGGCGGTTAGGCGTTTCTGTTGAACTACCACCACCAGTTCGTCTTTGAGAGTAGCAGTTATAACAGGAAATCAGTGCCGAAAATTGCACATTCCGACTAACCCTAGGATGGTATTGTATTCTGTGATAAGTTTTTCATTAAAAAAACGAACTTCAAAGTTGTCCCATCCTTCCACGTTAAGTGGTACGGTACGGAATGTTGAGAAAAAATATACACTGTTGAGTGAAGTAGGTAAGTCGGTCGATACAGTTATCAGGCATAATCGATTGAAGTGATTTGGACATGCCAAAAAAGAGCAATGGTGCTAAGAGGAGATGAGTAGTTATTGTAGGATAGCAGAGCCTAAGAAAGAAGTTACATCAAAATTTTCATTCGAACATTTCTAGTTTTCATATACCTCTATTGTAATACTTCTACACTGAAGACGATTTATGTATGCCTTTTCAAAATGTGATATTTCAAACCGATGAACGTCTGAGGGAAGTACAATGTTGATTTTTCTATCTGATGTATGTGTAGAACACCTTTTGTCCGCTTCCTGTGCAATTTGAAAGCTTCAATTTTGCATTTTTAATACACCCCTTGCGAATTTTGAATAAATCAGAAACAACGGTTTGTGCAGAATAAGGTAATCTCATATCATAAATAATCTTTTGCTTGAACCTCTTTCTTTTTTGGTATATTATAATTCTCTTAGTATTATATTGAGTTGAACTCACATAACTAGGTAACTCATTAGTTACTTATTATCAACCTATCTCCTGCCTTTATTACGCAACCCCTTTTCTTAATGTTCTTAAACAATTCTTGTCTAAACTTGAACCTTATATGTATAACTCGTATAAGTGTACCTTATGGACACTTTTTTCTTATTTTTGCAGTCTTTACTAGCTTTGCATGTAAGTTGAGCAATCCTAACAAAGTCAAGAAAAGCGAATACATGTTATTCATATGAAACAATTATGCCAAGATACAAAATGCATATCAGTAAATTCATGCACACATGGAACCTACCGCATTGCTGCATTGAGGAAAGAACGACGTTGACGAGCATTGAAACCTAGCACTTCAATCTGACCATTTACACGTGATAAAAGTGGAGGCATTTTGCCTTCACGTTCACGTCGAGTTCGACGACTCATCACAGGGACATCACCGCCAGCTGCGCCTGTACGTTCATCATATTCATCATCATCTTCATCCTAAGTTTCATAAATCATGACAAAATGTGAGCAAACATCAGAAGAGATAAGAGAGATTTCATTTCTAAGGGAATTTATCACACACCTATCTAATATCCTCAGTATTTATCAACACCATAGTAATCATACACACGAAATAGTATTGTAGTAAAACATTATAAATTTACTGCAAATGGATGAGATAGACGGGTTTTCCTACAGTAAACATATGTAATACCATAGCATAAAGGTCTGCTTAAATTTCATTAAAAATGAGATTGCCAACTGAAAATCTATAGGTTTACGCGACTCCAAAAGTCTCTTTTTAGGGAAGCCATAGGAAAAGAATAGAAAGTAAAAGATAACTTGAACATTGTACATTAATAATACTGAGATGCGACTCAGAGATTGTTAATGACCTGAAACTCCGTTTTCAACGTGGAACTTGCACAGAAATGCAGCGATTTAAGCACATAAAGATAGAGAAAATGAAGAAAATTTAAAAGAATTATAATGAGCAAAAATATATGAAAGAGACAAGTGCTTGAATGAGATTGAGAACATAATGGGAAACAAAATAAGAACCAATCGCCCAACCAATATGCAGGAGAAAGTGGAGATGGATCGAATACTGCCTGAGGAGGCCCCCGAGTGATATCGCGCGTTACGCGTTCGAGTGGAAACCAAAAGGGAAGCGGCAAATCGGACGTCCGAGGGTCATATGGAGGAGATCGTGTAAAGAGGAGTTAAAACAGAATCGACTAATAAAAATCATAATCACTTTATTCCACAACAATAACAATTTACAGCATGGAATTTTCAGCGTTTCTTTTACATATTGCAATGGTTTAGCTCTGTTTATAATTATATAAATGTATAAAATGTTAAAATATTGATAGTTAAAAGGAAAAAATAAAACCCCAACAAAATCACACCAATTGCTAGGTCATAGTGAATAATAAATAAATAATATAACAAATAACACATGCATTAATATGCATCATTACATTTTATAGTTTAGTTAATGATTTAAAAGTTGTAAAAGTTCTTTTCTGATATTTGTCTCTTCACACAATACTCGTGCCAAATATGGTACGGTCGAATTTCTATATTTTGTAGTACGAGCATAAATGTTTATGAAATTTCTTCTGGTCTTAACCGAAGAGATACAAGGAAACAATTGTGAATAAAGAGGATGTTCACTATCAGACAAGATAACTTTAGCTAAGTGTTTACAAGAATTCATATGCCTATTGACAACAGTGTCAGTTAGTTGAGTCAAAGCGATAGCACTGACCCTACTTACAGCCTTCAATGTTCTTCGTAGTATTATATGGTTTTTCTTGAGTAGCCTAGGGAAGAATAATGGAGAACAATAAAGAATGATGGGCAAAACACATGAATTAATAAATTGTATGAGAAGAGGTTGGGTTATACCTGAGTGCCTCAACTTCTTTATGTAATAAGTCAGATGGAAAACTTTCTTAGAAACTATAAGAATATGAGACGACCAGCAAAGGTTTGAAGAGAAACTAATGCCAAGATAAGAAACACTTGACTTACTCTATCATGGTACCATCAATCATGAGATTGGATCAATCCATGCATATCTTTTTCACTTCTCAAGCTGAAATCAACAGTATTACATTTAGTTGGATTTAGTTTAAGACCATTTGAGCCAGACCAATCCTTAACTTCAGCTAAGAAGCCATTCATATGGGAACAATCCGATGTGGAAACTACAGGGACAGAAACGGTCAGATCATCAGCATACTTAATGAAGTTAACTTTGGGTGAGTTCGGAAGGTCATGCAAAAAGAAAGAGAAAAGAAATGAAGAAAGTACTGCACCTTGAGGCACACCACTTTCAGTTAGCTGAGAAGTGGAGCGCTTTCCAGCCAAAACAGTATGCTGTTTCCTATCCTTAAAATAAGAAGACAGCCATCTAGTTGCCCAGGACTCTGTTTGTGCTGAAATCATCTTTCCTAATAAAAGTGTCCTAGGAACAGAGTCGAAAGCTGCAGTATAGTCTAAAAAAGCTGTTCGAACGAACTTAGCACCCTTATCAAGGCAGGAAACAATATTGTGGTGTAGTACAATGGCTGCATCTAATGTACTTCTTCCACACTTATAAGCAAACTGCTTAGGGTCACTAAAAGCTTTTAAAGAAGGTTTAAGAATATTCAAAAGAAGTTTCTCCATAGTTTTCAAAAAAGGAGATGTTATAGCGACCGGTCTAAACTTTATACCTGCTCCAGAAGATGATTTCTGTACAGGTACAACCTTGATTTCTTTCCAGTCAGCAGGTACCGTTTCCCTGTTAAATGATGCATTAAAGATTTGAGTAAGAGGATGACACAAGATGTCTGCACACTTTTGAAGAAGAATGCTTGGTACACCATCTGGACCAAGGCTGTGTGTTGGATTTAAAGATTTCAAACATAATAGTACATCCTTTTCTTTAAAACCCGGAAAATGACCATTATCTTGACTAAGTACATCAGGTACAACCATATTAATTTGTTTCATGATAAATAATTTGTTTAAAGCATTAACATCAGAATAAGCATCAACAGACATTTGTTTTTTACTTGTAAGTTTATTGAAAAGTTTCCAAATGTTTGAAGGATTTTTACACGATAAAAATTTTTCATTGTATAGTCTGTTCAACCTTTCTATTTCAATTTTTATAAGGGTGTTTATTTTACGAACACCAGTATTATCACAATTCTTATACAACTTCTCTTTTAGTCTTCTAAGTTTTTTCAGCTGCAAAGAAGAGATTCTGTCAAATCTCGAAAGCAATGTTTCATATGGACAGCAAATTTCCAAACAAAACTTCAGATAATCGGTTATATTAGAGACAGTAGCATCCAACTTATCGTCAGTAAAAACAGTCCCCAGTTGGTATCATACAACATGCTTCTTAGTGCTAGAATGTTGTCATGGGAATATGAACGTTAATGTATCTTCTTTGTTAAATGACTAAACAATTTTTGTTGTAACTTGCCGTACACTTTCGGTAAAATACGAATAATGCAGTGGTCAGAGTTTAGCAAAGGAGCTCTCCTTCGGGTTTCATATACATCACGTTCATTTATGAAAACCAGGTCTAGTGATTTGTCCAGACGTGTATTAAACTTGACTAGATTCTCGTGACCAAGTGAAGTAAGAAAGCTGTGATCACATGAATTAAAATCACCACAGACTATAGACAACGAGTTTCCGAATGCAGGAGCAGCGAATTCAGTAAATTCATCTGCAAACATAACTATATTAGAAAGGCTACAATTGGGTGTTATGTAAATATTTGTTATGTATATATAAGAATATTTACTTAAGTGTTTTGGGCGACACCTGACGGTTATGCAATCTATATTGTCATTAGAATAATTGAAGCAAACGTGATTTGATGTAGACCAACTTGTGTTTATAAAAGTGGCTACCCCTCCTCCATATTTTTTCTTAGAACTTTTCCTATTTTGGCGAAAACCTTTAAAGGTTTTCGCCTTGATAAGGGTGCTAAGTTCGTTCGAACAGCTTTTTTAGACTATACTGCAGCTTTCGACTCTGTTCCTAGGACACTTTTATTAGGAAAGATGATTTCAGCACAAACAGAGTCCTGGGCAACTAGATGGCTGTCTTCTTATTTTAAGGATAGGAAACAGCATACTGTTTTGGCTGGAAAGCGCTCCACTTCTCAGCTAACTGAAAGTGGTGTGCCTCAAGGTGCAGTACTTTCTCCATTTCTTTTCTCTTTCTTTTTGCATGACCTTCCGAACTCACCCAAAGTTAACTTCATTAAGTATGCTGATGATCTGACCGTTTCTGTCCCTGTAGTTTCCACATCGGATTGTTCCCATATGAATGGCTTCTTAGCTGAAGTTAAGGATTGGTCTGGCTCAAATGGTCTTAAACTAAATCCAACTAAATGTAATACTGTTGATTTCAGCTTGAGAAGTGAAAAAGATATGCATGGATTGATCCAATCTCATGATTGTTGTAATATGATGGTACCATGATAGAGTAAGTCAAGTGTTTCTTATCTTGGCATTAGTTTCTCTTCAAACCTTTGCTGGTCGTCTCATATTCTTATAGTTTCTAAGAAAGTTTTCCATCTGACTTATTACATAAAGAAGTTGAGGCACTCAGGTATAACCCAACCTCTTCTCATACAATTTATTAATTCATGTGTTTTGCCCATCATTCTTTATTGTTCTCCATTATTCTTCCCTGGGCTACTCAAGAAAAACCATATAATACTACGAAGAACATTGAAGGCTGTAAGTAGGGTCAGTGCTATCGCTTTGACTCAACTAACTGACACTGTTGTCAATAGGCATATGAATTCTTGTAAACACTTAGCTAAAGTTATCTTGTCTGATAGTGAACATCCTCTTTATTCACAATTGTTTCCTTGTATCTCTTCGGTTAAGACCAGAAGAAATTTCATAAACATTTATGCTCGTACTACAAAATATAGAAATTCGACCGTACCATATTTGGCACGAGTATTGTGTGAAGAGACAAATATCAGAAAAGAACTTTTACAACTTTTAAATCATTAACTAAACTATAAAATGTAATGATGCATATTAATGCATGTGTTATTTGTTATATTATTTATTTATTATTCACTATGACCTAGCAATGGTGTGATTTTGTTGGGGTTTTATTTTTTCCTATTAACTATCAATATTTTAACATTTTATACATTTATATAATTATAAACAGAGCTAAACCATTGCAATATGTAAAAGAAACGCTGAAAATTCCATGCTGTAAATTGTTATTGTTGTGGAATAAAGTGACTATTATTATTACGAATATTATATGTATATATATTATATATATATATATATATATGTATATATATACAAATATATATGTAATGAATAACATGGATGCAGGTGAAAAGTACAGCAGAAGCAATTGGAGACGTGCAGTTGAAGCCCTATGTTCCACTGGGAACCCTAGGGAAGAACAATAATAATAATAGATCACAAAGAGTGAATGTATATGCGCCAATGAGAGCAACCTCGAGTGATTTTACTAACAGCCTCCAGGCATTACTACTCAGCATCTCCAGGACCAATCCAGACTATAAACAACTTCCTACGTGACTGACTCAAACCAACAGGCAAATACTTCATGGATTGATTCTAGATTTTGATTTGAACATCTTCCTCTTTCCGAACTTGGTGAGTCGTTGGTTTACAGGTAGAATGCTCGCCAACTATATACGTAGTTTGGGTTGAATTCTCGACTAACGTACTTCTAAAAACCCACTTACCCAGTAGCAAACCCAACAAAGGCAGGAGTTTGGATGTGAGTCTAGCAATCCCACCCTTAAAAAATAAACACCAGTGCTACTGGAACTTCAAAGCACACCACCTGAAACCCTATATTCTACTCGAAACGCAAAGGAATGAAAAAATCTCTAACTCCTTTTCAATTTAATCTTATGTCAGCTAACATTGCTCAGCATGTTTAATACATGTCCTAGCTATCTCAATTAATGTAAGTTCACAACTTCATAGATTATTTTCCCACCTTACCTAACGCTACGTCTAACCTCAACATTACTTGCCATACTGTACCAGGAAATAGAATGAGAACATCTGTGCTCAAAGACAGCTAGTGAGTCCACGTCTCCCACTTTTCGATGGCCATGTCTCACAGCAACAAAAGAGGACAGAACGAACTACTGCAAAGTACACACGTCCTTTAGGACTGATGCAACTTACTAAGTAAGTGAAGTGGGCAAACACTTTCAACCTACCTATCTTTACACTAGGCTATCAAGACACATTTTGAAAATGTTGCAGAGTAGTATTCGCAATCTGACATGCAGTGTTAAAATGGATAAGGACATTTTGTGCAATGTCTGAGCAAAATAGACATACCTTGTTAGAAAAGTCACTATCATGATCGGTCATAGCCTGATTCCATTCTTCCTCTTCTTCTTGAGTTGTTGAATAATTAACTTGTTTTCGAACCCGTTTACCTTTGCCAAGAGCTCGGGCTTGATCTTCTTGAGCTTGTTCAAAATGATGTCGTAGTAGCTTTTCCCAATATGTTGGATCTGCTGGATCAAGTTCTTGTTTGATAACCTGGAGTAAACATGATATCATGATATGTTATTACAAAACAATAAACTGGAGGAATTACACAAAAATTTCCAAGCACCGCACAAATTGGAGTTGTTCCAAAAGCAGGAAGTATATGAGGGCCACCATACTGGAAGATAATTCTAAAGATGACACTTAGTGATGCATGAACACATGGAATATGTAGAATTACCTTCAGTCATTCAATTCAAGAAATTTGTGGAGTGAATAGAAAGGACAAAACTCCAAGAAAACTGGATTCTTATTGCCCTTCTATAATAAACTATGAATCGGGCACTACATAGTCAAACGAGTATTAAGCAAAAAAGTCCACCAAACAGCAAGTAAATTTGCCTTTGAGTATTGTATTTGAGAGAAAACTGAAAATATTATACATCTACTAGTGAACTTGTCAAACTTTCACCTTCCTAGTAAGTACATCAATATTTAACACATTAACACCCGAATATTCTTGATTGTGGTGGACTGGATCATGAGACAAACTGGAAGACTCTGGAGGATTCGAACTTCGCGGAAAACTTATGTCTAATGTCACACAAAGTCAAAGATCTACAGGCACAAACCAACAAGGTGGTAGCAGAAACAGTGAAGACTGGACTTTAAGTGAACATGGGGAAGACATGGGTAACGAAGATAACCAACTACAACAAACACTAATCACTATCAACGACAGAAATTCGAAGGGGGTCACTTCTTCCATTTATCCTTGCACCATCGTATCACCTAAGGGTGGCACAGATGAAGATGTTAAAGCCGAGATCGGAAAAGCAAGACAGATGTTCATTACCGTGAAATCACTGTGGAAATCTGTCGCATAAGGAATGAGATTAGGATTTTCAAAATGTCACCAGTGTTTCTGTATGGTTCAGAGACTTGTTGTGTCACCAAAAGCATTTCCAACATGCTGCAGACTTTCAGCAGCAACAGCTGTTTTCGCTTCTTACTGAAGGTCAAAGGATCAGCCGGAAAAGAAAAGGAACTAGGGTATTAAACCAACCAAGACCCTATTAACCAATAAATATGCCGAAGAAAATGAAGATGGATCGGAAAGGTTTCTAGTTTACTTGAGTAAAGTAAAGTAAAGTAAACAAGCAGACGAAATATTTAATTCCCAATAAAAATACTACTAAACAGATTACAAGTAGTATGAGGTAGTTAGTTATGTTACCAGAGCATTCTAAGAAGCCTGGTACTCAGACGAACACGCAACCAACAGACAGATTATTATAGATCTAACTTATCAACTAACAAAGAATAAAGCCACATGATAAAAAAGTGAAATCTAAAGTCAATAAAAACAATCAATACTAGTACGAATTAACAACCAATCACAACAAAGGTTGTCAGGAGATACAACTACATCGTTCACGGAGAATTCATATAAATTCACTTCATATTGAAGGTGATATCTAGAAAGACAATAAAGGCACTCAGTTCAGAGAATACAACCATATCAAAATCATCTAGCTGAGCTACAAATCTTCTCTATTTATTTGACACTCATAGATACTACCAAGCAAAGATTATTGAGCCGGCCATTGTTTCGAAATAGGATGGTGAATAGCATGAACACTTCTGAGGGAGTTTAGAGTAATACTTTTATGCAACACTTCTGATGAAAACGGTAAGCGTAAAATGTAAGTGAAAATTGAAAGGATAATTTCCTGCATAGATTTATCGTGTATTGCCTTGTTAAACACTAATATCTATATTACAGACCTACAGTTGCTCTCTTCGTTTGCATTATGATTCCTGGTAGCAGAATCATAGAAAGTTGTTGTGTGAACCTACAGGCCTGAAGTAGACAACTCCTTGGATCTTAATGGTAACTTATAAAATACTGTCGGCCCTTACTTCTTAAAACTAGTAGTGAACAGTTAACGAAAACCATACAATAGTGAAACTTCCTTATCTAGGTTACAACAAGGATTCTGCACAAAATTAGTCAGCAAAAACAAACAAACATGAATGTCACTGTAATGGATAAGATTTTATTTTGATAAATCACACAGTGTAGTACAGTTATATTAACTGATGACGTTTCGAGCACAAACTATTGCTCATAATCATATCAAGTTACTCACACAACTTCTTTCCTTCATTTATAAATGAAGGAAAGAAGTTGTGTGAGTAACTTGATATGATTATGAGCAATAGTTTGTGCTCGAAACGTCATCAGTTAATATAACTGTACTACACTGTGTGATTTATCAAAATAAAATCTTATCCATTATGGAATTATACTCTACCACAGTACCCAAGTTTTATACTTATATCAATGAATGTCACTGTTTCATTGCACAAAATGTATATAAATGAGTTGAACAGGATTTCAATAGCAAACAATTAACTTCCATAATAATTATGGTGAATTTTTCAGTTGTAGAGGAATAAATTAACATCAGTTTGTGGATTTTCTTTTACTTTTACTGGTTAATAGCAAATATGCAGACCCCTTATGTGAGTCTTGAAAATAAAAACCCAGTGCCTTAATACAATGACCAAAATCATAGTTACAGTCTTAGAAAAAAAAAGGTTTTTGTACTTCCCAATGAATGAAAAACAAAACGATATTGTTTTTACTGACGTTTCGCTATTTAATGCTAATAGCTTTATCAAAGTATTATTAAACGGAATTACAAATCTCAGCTTGATTGTGTTTTCATGGCTAACAGATCATCCTACAGCATTCAATTAATAGATAATAAGTTTCAAAGCTGCTATCTCCTGGGGTCTAAACAAACTAAAATCCACATGGTAGGCTCGGCTTGTATTATTATTATTATTGTTCCCTTGGGTTTCGAGTGGAACATAGGGTCTCAACAGTACATCTCCACTTTGTCCTAATTCTCTGCAGTCCACTTTAGATGGTCCCACGATGGCTAATAGTCTCTCATCTCCTCCTCGCACGATTTCCTCCACGTCATTCTCGGACGCCCCACTCGGCTTCCACTAGAGCGATGGCCTGATGCGTGATGTCATTCGACGGTCTCCTCAACGTGTGGCCAATCCATCTCCATTTCCTTCGGCAAATTTGTTGAGCAACAAGTTCGTGGTTGGCTCGTTCTCAGAGTTTCCTACTGCTAATCCTTTCTGGCCATTTGATCTCCAATATGGAGCGAAGGCAGTTGTTGATATAAGTCTGCAACCTGTTGGAAATGCTTTTTGTGCGGCGCAGTGCAAGTTTCTGATCCACATAGAACTGACTGACTTGACATTAATGTTGAAAATCCGAATTTTGTCCCTCATGAAGAGTACAGAAATTTTTAAAAAAAACTGATTTCAAAGTGATGAGGGTCTGTCTTGCCTTTCCGATTCTGGTTTTGACATCCTTATCTGTGCCACCTGTAGTTGAAACGAAGCTCAGCTTGCAGCCTTTCTTTATTTATTCAATAGTAAAAAAACCCTCCAACCATGCATGTGGTCCGGATTCCATTATCCTACTCAACGCACCTCTAAACCTCGCCCTAGTAAGCCAAGAAAAGTGAGAAGATAGGGTGCGAAAAGAGCAGCCTCACCCTGTGAAAGCAACACCATCGCCACTAGTGAAACTTCAAAGCGCAAGTATGAAGCCCTATGTTCCACTCGGAGCGTAAAGGAATGAAAAAAATACGATGATGAATATTATACTTCGTTTATCTTTCTTTATATTTACATTACTTCGATATATGATTGTGTGACTCTCATTCCTCCGTACTCGTTAAATCAAACACTTGTATTCTGACGAACGATAATACTGATGAAGGGGAATTATGATTGAAACAGTTGCTTACAAAGATACTGATTCTGACATAGACAAATACTACTATGTCATAACGTTTGCACCAGAAAATATTTGCATACTGCACATGACACAACAGTAATAATGATAATAATAATAAACAGAGACAATGAACTAATAAAAATGAAAAAGAAATTACTTCACGATTTTCATCTTCATCCTCTGATTCATCTTCCTCTTCTTCAATGACTCCCTTCTTTTCATAATGAGCCACTTTGAATGAAGTTAAATAATCATTCATTTCTAAGGCTTTTTCTTCTAAGCCTTGTTGACTACGATCAAGTAAACGTTCAATAGCAGCATCATCATACACAATTGTATGTTCATCTTCCACTAAGAAAAGTGTTAATAGAAGAATGCAGATTATTAGGCAAAAAAATATAATTTAACAAATAACATTACTACAAGGGAACTGTTTCCCAGTTATTATAATCAATTATGCATTTGGTTACAGGATTTCATCATGAGCTGACATTGGTCAGAGAACCACTGGAAAACCTGGGAGTACTGGACAGCTGTTTCGTCCTAGTTTGGGATTCTTCATCAGTACGCACCCACCGGGGTTCGAACCCAGAACCTTCTGGTTACAAGTCGAGCTCGTATACCATTAAGCCACTGGGACCCGATCCAATGGCCCATGAATTCTAACTTCTGCCAATTCATGATATAGCACAACCGCTAGCCAATGTCTTCGGCGAGTATTTGTCCGCACACCCGACCTGCTGCACCCTACTGGTCACAGTAGAAAAAAGGCAATTTAATAAACACAGACCGATTCTAACAATGGACTATATAAAGCCATCTTACATCTGTTATATAAGGACACATGATGCCAAGTGGATACCAGAATGACAGATAATAGTCCGTAACAAGAATATTACAGAATATAATATGGTGGGGGTTACGAAATCCTAGTAGAGAAAAGTGATGTTACAATTAACATCACAAGTAATGAGTATATCTCAGCATTACATAAATCTACTCTTGACTACACTATCTAGAGTGTAAATCTCTCTTCTGATTGCATCACAGGACCCAAATATTAAATTTATCGTTGATAACTACAAATTGGTGTCACGTTTTAGTTCAACAACTTTCAACCTTTTCTTATTCTAAACTTACGCTAGCTATTGTTATGAAATAAGGTATACAATGTCTAGGAGCATGTGAAATGCATCATTACAACCATCTCAACGAACAAAAACTTACAGTTTCATCAAATGGCATTTATTTTCGAATGACGAATAAGCCTATTCCTGACATTGTTGAAGTGATGACTCCACAAAATACCTAAAGCTTTCATGAACATAAAGGTAATCAACTGCTTGAAGCCTGCACAAATCTAACCTTAACGACAGTCTTTCTCAGCCATACTGTAGGAGATCAGTGAGTACTGCTGAACAGTGCATGACTTGAGGTGGATTTCATCAGATCTCTAGTTTTGTAAACTAATGTATACATGAACAATGTATACATGCTTATTACCTCGCACTACAGTTAGATGTGAGAGTAACGTGAACTTAATGAACTTTCGTAATGACAGTGAATAGCAGTAAAAATTTAAACCTAAGATAGTATCAATATTAAATAACCTGCAGTAAACTTTTAGAATAAACACAATGAGGAATCTAGAAAGTTTATTACTGAGTAGAACTTTTGACAAGAAAACATGAGCATTTTAATAAGTCTCTACTACTACAACAGGCAGTTTAAACTTTGGACGCTTGACTGCTGAAATTCTCAATCACTGACCACGGTAGTCTTTGAAGTACTCCTAGTTTACAGTAGAATTCAAGTATAAGTAATGTTCAGGGTAGCTGCAAGCTATACTAATGCACAATGTTAAGTGAACTAATAACTGAGTCAGAAGAATCCTAAGAATGAACGGAAGAAGGCAGTAGAAATGTGGTGAGAGCTGGCTGCTAGCCAAATTGGTAGACAGTAATTTACGTCAATGTTTACGTCCCCAATATTGGTGGTGAGAAAAATAAAAACAAAGACTGATTCAACAACTAACCACAGCAGACTTTGCGTAGGCGGATACAGTTAGCATATAGATGATCTGACATTCAAGAAACAGCCACAAAAAGATGGAAGATTAATTTCTGTAGGAAACAACCAATCAGAAGACTGTGTTTTCCTGCTAACAATAATCTATAATAATGTACATGAAAATCTATAAATGCGTTGATTTCCTAAATAAACGATCGGTTGCCTGGCCCTTGTCTTCTGTTGTTACAGAAATATATACATCTACTGATGACTGGACAGAGCTGAATATCAAAATTAAACTGTATAGGAGGCCTTGGTTGCAAATGGTCGGAGACTATCAATAATATAGACGGAAATTCCAATAATACAGATGAATTCTATTTTTTACATCCTTAGATGACATTCACATAAGTTCTGTTCTTACATAACCGGTGTGTTTTTCAAGCATATTTCTTTTTACACTGCGACAAATCGTGATCCTTTAATCTTAAAACACTGATTCATTGTATCATACATCTGTAACGTAATCTAACAGGAAAATATACTTTATCAGCGTTCAAATTCTATGAATATGAAAGACGCAGGTTGAAATCTATAAGTCGACAGCATAAGGGTAGTTTGTTGATCCTGTTTTATGCAATATATATATGAAGAGGGGAAATGAATTCGGTAACTTACTGTTCTCTTCACCTTCCTTGAATAAATCTTCAGTTCCAAATTTAAGAATATCATCAAGTTCTTTCTTGGACATCTGGCATGAACCTTTACCGCCTAATCCAGGGCGAACAACCAGGTGAGTTAGCATCATTTTTTTCTTTGCGACTTGCGTAACACGTTCTTCAACTGTCCCACGGGTGACAAATCGATAAATCATAACCTAAAACAGACAAATACTTATAATGACTTGTGTCACCCATGAGTTTTGAAACAATGCCATAAAGAGATCAAAACACAAAAACAATAGAGTGAATTCCCTTAAATGTGAATGAAAAATACCCTTTGGGATACGAAAATATAAGAGCTAACAAACGATACAGAGTAACGTATTTCTAATTTAGACGGGATTATTAATTTACGATAACCAATCGAACTGCTTGACTAAAGGTTATATTTTGGTTAAAACCTATTTAAAAAGATGCAATATGGTAACTGAAGTAAGTGATAGTATGCATTATTTTTTTCCTTCAGGTTCCCCAGTGGAACATAGGGCTTCAAGCTAGTGGCTTGAAGTTTCTGTAGCAGGGTTTATTTTACAGGATGGGGTTGCTAGCCTCATGCCCAACGTTTCCTCTTCACCAGCTTTATTTCTGGTTTAGCGAGGTAAAGGAGTGCATCGGTCGGGGATCGAACCCCGGACCATGTGCATGGTTGGCGAGCGTCCTAACCGCTTTGCCACCGACGCACATGCATTATAGTGAGGCAGTTTTTGATGTTAAGAATAAATCGATAATAATCCTTGAGTCTAGGTATTCTACTTGTTTATATTTATCATATTTCTGCAACCATTAAAAACTAGTGTTTTGACTTACTTTATTCGACTGGCCAATACGATGAGCACGAGAAAATGCTTGGATATCATTATGTGGGTTCCAATCCGAATCATAAATGATGACTGTATCTGCAGAGGCTAAATTTATACCTAAGCCACCAGCTCTAGTGGATAACAAAAATGCAAACGAAGGTGAATCTGGAGCATTGAAACGATCTATAGCATCTTGACGAAGTTGACCAGTAACAGCACCATCGATTCTTTCAAACTTATAACCTTCAGAATCTAGAAAGTCCTCCAAAAGATCAAGCATCTTTGTCATCTGTGAGAAAATCAATACTCTGTGTTTTGTTTCATACAATTTTCGTAACATCTTACTCATTAATTCTAATTTTCCAGAGCCTTTACGGAGTCCAACGCCTTCATAAGCACCATTGGGCATACGCTGTGCTTCTTCTGCAGCAGATGGGAAAAGAAATGGATGATTGCAACACTTCTTGAGATCCATCATAATATTGATCAAAGAAACTTGTGAACCTCCACTGCGACAACTTAATGCCTCGAAGTTGCGAGTGAGTATAAACTTATAGTAGCGCCTTCACATAAAAGAAAGGAAAATAGCAGTGAATATTTTCACACTTCTACAAAGCATTCGTAAATTACGCTACTCAAATGAAAAGAACGAAAATGACGGCATACATTAGCACGATCAGCTTTACCACAAAACACACCCAGCTTGGTATTGAAACTATTTTCCTAGAAATCTTGCATACATAACTCTGCAGGTTCATTTTTCAACAAAAAATTAAAATTGCAAGCACCAAAGTATAATAAATACGACCACATCTATTAATATCTCATCCTCAGTATGCCCTGCTTCGTGTTTTGTAACAATTTATCAGTTACCACACTGCAGAGGCTTACAAAGTCCCCATTTAAGCAAATTTTTTAAATTTCAGGAGGATGATTATCGACGGGAATTAAAGTACATATAGTTACGCTGAGTGACTTTCAACATACGACTTTGCACAGAACAGCAGCAGTTCAAAGTCGCAGCACTCCATGTAGCACACAAAGGTAGTAAAGAGAAAAAAGGAATTCAAAAGAACCATAAGCAGTAGAAATCTACGCGAGAAAGAATAATAACTTATATAAACATGAGTTGATGGATCTGCGAGATTACAAATGGTGAATGCATTTGTGCCACTGAAAACAATTTAGAGCCAAATCACCAAAAGTCTCCAGACATTGGTTCTTACAATCCCGGGGATCACAACCAGGTAGTTTACACCTTCCTGAGTGGCCGGTATGTGCAACACACGCCCTAACCATCTCAATCAGTGTAGCTTCACAACCTCATTGGTTGACTGAATTCCCTTCCTTACATAACACTCTATGCCTAACCTTAATATTACTTACCATAATATATCACTTAAAACGGGAGATAGAACGTAAATAAGGCATAATGGACTAGTGGCTAGAATGCGGTTGGGCAATAAACGCCGATGCTGTGTAATTGCTGATGAACTCATTTCTCTCTGTGAATACGTTTCGCATTTTTATTTCCTAGATGAAGAAAAGCCTCCTACCTGATACCTAAGAAATAAGTTACATTCATTGATCAAGTTTTGACCATTATACCCCAAAAAAGGTGATAGCTTTGACTTTTTCAATGGTTGGTAATAGCCAACTGTCTCAATGTCTTTTTTATTCAGTCCATGAGTGAAATAATCAGCTTTACAGTTACAGAAACAGATAGCAACTTTTTTTCATAACTATTTGAGAACAATATCTTGTTGATAAGTTTGATAGGAAAAACCAGGCTAGGAAGTTCTATTGTGGATAAAATTTATTTTGATAAAGTCTCACAGTGTTATACAGTAATATTTACTGATGATGTCTTGAGTACAATTTGTTGCTCATAATTATATCAAGTTACTCACACAAAGTTGGGAAGTTATGACCGCCAAACTGGGACCACACAACACAAGAAGAGAACTCATTATTGGTTGAGAAGCACTCATCTCTGACTTCTGTGTCTTCAATGAACTAGTGATTGGCTGCAGTGTATACAAGCACAAGGATATCCACAAGGCTACATGGGTGTCACCAGACGGGCGAACCGAAAGCCAAATTGACCTCATCCCAATGGTGCTCAAGGAAGTGGAGACGCAGCTTACTGGACACAAAAGTTAGAAGAGGAGCAGACGTAGGCTCAGACCACTATCTTGTGCAACGAACACTCCAAGTCAAATTAAAAACTTTCAAGGAAATAGGAGCTGCAGATAGACCACAAGCCAAGTTCAATACTCAAAAACTGAAAGATCAGGATACAAAGGACATCTTCACTGCAATCATAAGGAAAAAGGCGGAGACAAAAATCAGCACTAGCGAAGAGACCAGTGTTGAAAAGCACTGGAACAACCTGAAAGCGCTGTGGAGTCAAACCTGCATGGAAGTTCTAGGCAGAAAGAGACAGGACAAACAGTGGCTCACTACAGACACATGGAGACTAATAGAGGAAAGAAGAATGGTGAAACAAAAGATTATCCAGTGCATCGACGAGCAACAAAAACAGGAGTTGAATGCAAGCTACAATACACTGAACAAAAGAGTAAATAAGAGTGCCAGGGAAGACAAAAGAAAATATTATGAAGCTATGGCAAGTGAAGTAGAACAAGCTGCAGACAAAGGAGACCTCGCAACACTCTACCAAACAACTAGGTTATTATCGGGGAAACGTTCAACACAAATTAAGCCAGTGAAGGATGACAATGGAAAGCCAATCACCAAAGAGGTGGAGCAAAGGAAACACTGGGCTGAACACTTCAAAAGACTTCTAAATCGACCGCCACCTACAACGCGCCCAATAATACCAACAGCGGAAGCAGAACTACCAGTGGACATCAACCCTCCGAAGAAAGCAGAAGTCCTGAAGGCCATAAAGATGCTAGAAACTGGAAAAGCAGTAGGACCAGACGGAATCCCTGCAGAAGCATTGGAAATGGACCCAGAGACTTCAGCGGACTTGATGACACCACTACTAGAGAATGTGTGGAATGAGGGCAAGGAACCTGCTGATTGGAAGAAAGGTTACTTATTCAAACTGCCAAAGAAAGGGGACTTAGGTCAATGCAAGAACTGGTGCGGCATTATGCTCCTGTCCATCCCAAGCAAAATAGTAAGCCGCATCATCCTGGAGAGAATCAAACACGCCCTGGATGAAAAACTTCGACCGGAACAGGTTGGATTCAGGAGAAACAAGTCATGCATCGATCAAATCACTGATGTAGGACGGAAGTATAATAGGAAAGTACAAATGATTCCAAAATAAAGAAAATTTAATACAATATGACTAACTGTACTGCACATGAATTGATTTAGTTAAGAATAGTCATCAACTGGCAAACGTAACTTTTATTCGAAGTAGTCGAATAAATCCTAATTTTTGTAAGAATCAATTCACTAATCAATGTGTATACATGTATAAAAAGTAACTTACTTTTGCATAGGGCTGAGTTCTACCCTTACGATGAATTCACCCTTAGATGGCATATTTTGAAGCACATCAGCTTTGAGACGCCTCAGTAGATGCTGACCAAGCATGTCATGCAGTTTCTTCACTTGTTCTTCTTTTGATATATCTGCGAACTCATCTAAGAAACCTTGCATATCATTGAACTTCTCTGGTGTCATAAAATGTAGCAGATGGAAGAGTTCCTCCAGATTATTTTGAAGAGGAGTTCCAGTCAACAGAAGTTTATATGCTATTTTGTAAGTTGTTAAAATACGGAAAAACTTTGATTGATTATTTTTAAGGCGATGCGCCTCATCTACAACAAGAACTTCCCAGTCAATGGAACCTAGTAAAGCCTGATCAATACTGATCAACTCATAACTTGTCAGGAGTACATGAAATCGAACTGATGTACCAGTTCTCATTCGCATCGCTTTAGCGCCACCACGAACAGCACCTTCATCAAATGAGAATTCGTGTTCCCGAATGACCGTTCGTGAATCTTTATCACCAATATAAGAGACTACATAAAGATCTGGAGCCCAAAATTCGAATTCACGTTCCCAATTAATAATAGTTGAAAGGGGTGCAGCGACAAGAAATGGACCACGGCAATGACCTTCTTTGTAAAGAGAATAAAGAAATGCAATTGTTTGTATAGTCTTCCCCAAACCCATTTCATCAGCTAGGATTGTATCGATTTTATTACCGTAGGAAAATCTAAGCCAGTTAACACCTTCCAACTGATACTCGTGCAGCTGTCCATCTGTTTCATCAAGAAAACTTGGTTGCGTAGTGTACTGCTTCTTTAAGTCCGTCAAACACCTATCGGGTGGTAATTTACGGAGTAATTCTGGGCTTAGATTTTCAGCAGCAAGTTCTTTTGAAGAACGACGACCCGGTTTATGCCTTTTGCATAAACTAACAACCGAAAGAGAACCATCAGGTCCAACAGTACTACATAAGTGCCCCATGAAGACTTTTCGCATTGTTCGATATTCTTCAATATACTTATCCATATCAACAACTTCTCCATCCCGAGCTTCCCATGTACATTCATCGTAAGGAAGATCACGCCACTTGACGAGATACCAAGTCTGGCCTCCTCTGCCAGTTCGATGGTCAATAATTCTTTGTGGTTGCAACCATTCTGGTCTGACACCCCATTTGTAGAAGCGTTCCTCTAAATTATGAGGGTCTGCAACTTTCTCACGAGCCCGTCCTCTGAAATGAAGAAAAACATTTTGCATACAATTACAAACATATAAATGTTACAAAACTCAGATACGCACAGGATAAATATTCTCTCAATATACATGAAAAGTCAAATATAACATTTTAAGAACTGAGTCTCAATTATTCGTTTCTTTACAGGCTTTTTTGCCAAGAAGAAAACACTGATGACACAAATAGAAACTCTAATCTTTAAGTGGACATCTGCAACTTTTCATGAAATGCAATCAAACCATCGAAATGGAAGCGCAATATTGCAGATCATGATAGATGAAAAGCTTAACGAGGTTGGGCGTAAGGCTAGCAACCCCACCTCATAAAAACAAAATCGCTGCTACCAAAACTTCAAAGCTCTAGCCTGAAGCCCTATATTCCACTGGGAACGTAAAAGAATAAAAGAAAGAAATCTTGCAAACAAAAACTGACCATTAGAAGTACAACTGCTGCTGCAGTGCGGCCGCTTAAGCATTTAGAAAGCATTACACTCGAGTATGATGAATCAATAACTATATGGGACAGACTTCTTATACTTCTAAATAGTATAGTGTTCTATTATTTCCTTTATTTCTTTGCGTTCCGAGTGGGAAATAGGGCATCAGGCTTGAGGTTTGGGTCTCAGTAGCAGTGATGTTTATTTTGTACGAGATGTGGTTGCTGGCCCCAGGCCAAATTTTCCCTTATTAGTCGGTTAAGCGAGGTTTAGAGGTGAGTCGGTCAGGGATCGGACCCCGAACCACGTGAGGAGTTGGAGAGTATTCTACCACTAAATCACCGACACACCATCGTAGTACGTTAAGTGCTTAAAATGTGGTTCTCCTGTTGCAAGAGTTCTTAAAACCAAGGGATTCACAGATGCTGTTAAATTCATGAGTGCTAAAAATATGAAACACTATGTTGTAAGAAAACAAATACGATTTATACTAGATTACAAACTCCTTAAGCAAGAAATAAACACTATACAGTTATAATATCCTTTTTCAAATGCAATACTGTTCGAATTCTAAGAGTATAAATGCTACAACTCTGTACTTTGATGAACAAGAAGTGGCATTTGATCTTGTAAATTTATATGAAGGAAAATTAGCTCTTAGTCTTAATGATTAAAATACTGCTTGTAGAAAAGTAAATATTGTAAAACTAAATCTATTGACTTCCATCGTACAAAGTCATTAAAACAATCGAAATCATTATCTAAAACAACCAAAAAGTGAATGTGCAACCAATTGAAAAAAGAGAGCACATTTACGTATATTTGTATTAAATCATGATTAAAACCTAAAAGGATTAAAATATTCTAGGCACTTATCATATAAAATAACTGGTTAACAAATCAACACAGAACTTTTCCCAAGAGTTCAGTAGTTAAAGCTGCCACACCTCACAGAATACAGAAAATAAATGTAATGAAACTACAATGGACGAAGATGTATAGGATGGAATATGATCAGGATTTGGAAGATGACAAGGGGTGAACACGTCTGCACCACTGTGAACGAATTTGAAACATGTCAGTGAAAGCTCCCCCTTGCCAACCATTGATCCTGAGGACCTCACCCAGACAGTTTACACCTCTCTACATAACTCAAATCAATAGTCAATAACTTAATTTACAAGTGCCTTGTTTTGGTATGATGGCCCCTAACTCTTTTACAACATAATCCTACTTCAACCAATATTTCTCATTACAAAACAAACTGACTAGATATGCGTAAGATATATCCTGGACACATGACACGATGAAGCTTGACAAACTAATCAACTGAATTCCCCTTCTATCTAAACTATAAAACTATTCTCACTATTACTAATAATATAGTTCAACCTAACAGGGAGACTGAAGGAGGGTACCTGGAGTCAAAAACCGCTCAACTTTTCGCCTCTTCTGCTTTAAGTGGCCATACCTCAGTCTTAAAAAAGTATGACACAACGAACTGTAGCTCAGTTCATACACCCTCAGAAGCCTGATATGACGTCTATATTAAAGGCAAGTAGTACACGCCGATATAAGTCTTTTGTTTATGCATTAATATTTCCTCAACAATCACTCCATTAAGGGTACCGCAACTTTACAGGTATATAAAATATTCAACAAATCCAACCCATTCACTTCTTATGCACAAACTAGGAATCAGTGCAGACTAATCTTGTAGCACAACACTATATTTAGCAAAAGTGATTTAAACCTTCCATCATATAGTACCAAAGTTAATCTGACCAAATAAAGATTTGAACTGCTTCCCAATGTTCTATCAAAAATGTCATCATTCTCCCCTGGGAAATAAATAGACCTCTATCATTTTCAGGGACTATTTCATTTTCCTAAATTTTCTCTACACACCTCCTTGAGAAGCCTCAACGGGTAACAAGTATTACCTACTGATGATGCCTTTTACATTCTTGTTTGTTTCCATTTTTTTTCGTTACAGTCTTTACGACTACTTGTAGTCACTTGGTCCCTGAGTGACCTTCGCTCTGCACGATATGAAATATATGTTCCTCTTCTGTGTAGCTCTCTCCATTTGTAATTGCTCAGGCGGCAATTACATAGAGACACTGACGAGTATGATATCGTTTCCTCATTATTACGGATACACTCGACCGAGACACACACACATGACCGTCTATTACATTCCACCCAAGTAGCGGCTTTCATGCTCTTGAACATGGTAGTATCCTCACACCAGCGAGTTCACTGGTACTAAACAATCTCTTGACACCCCGCACGGGGGATTATGAAGCATCACTATGTTCGCCAGGTGGGACCGAGTGGACAACTACACTTGGATTACGTGTCAGCGTCTCACAGAGACATAAAATAAACCTAAAATGCAAGACATCAGAGTTTCCGTTAGTGAGACATGTTGTCTAATTTTACATTAGGTTTATATAAGGTTCGGACGTTGAGAGCTCTTATATGAAGTTAGCAGTGATTTTAAGAGACTTGGAGAAGTATTTCTCTGGCTCAACTCATTGGCAATGGTCACAGAGTTTATAGAAATTGAAAAAAGCAAGAAGATAAAGTTTGGTGATGAAGAGTAGAACTTTGTTTGCTAATAGAAACACGCAAGCAGTTGTTAAGTTCAGACCACCCATTTTGGAAGATACAAAGCATTAGTGATGCGTTACCCCAGAGACCAGGATCGAACTACTTGAGGCCGGTTAAACACAGGCTGTTAGGAAGTGGAATTGATTGGGTTTCGTCTGCGTGAAAACCCTTACAGCCTAGTACGGCCTGTCGTAAGCTAGGTTGGAATGTACAGTTTTGCGGCCATTCTTCTTCAACCCCCCTGCATATAGCGAGAAAGTGGCTGGCTGCTCAAGGGAAACAGCTAACTGTTGTAACATCACTATCTGCCAGAAGCATAACTTTATCCTCAGACCATAACCGCAAAGTAAGCAACTTACTCCGTAATGATAAATTCTTTGAGTATGACCACCACCTAACAGAACTCTCTAGCATAACGGAACCCACAGGAATATATGTTTCAGCCAGTATAGCTTGTTAAACCGATGAGATACACATTCCCGACCACCACATCTAGGTGGCAGCAACCTTATGCAACCAAAAACCAAAACAGTGACACGTTATTATCCACTAATACAGAATATTTGTGGCACTCCGTCAAAAATCTAATATCGTAAATATATATTACCTACCAAATGTTCTATCTTATACCAAATGAAGTTAAATAAAATCGTACCTGTAAGTGCTTCCATCTTCCGGAAGTGGAGGTTCCTCCATATCATTTTTCTTAAAGTAATTCCGCAGCATTATTGGGTGATGAACATCCAATTGTAATTCAGTTAACCATTCACAATGCCAGTATGACAAATCAGAATACTTAACGAAAAATTCTCTTGTGGGACGCCTTATATGTATTGGTTTCACTGGAACAGGCTGTTGTTCTGGTGCTGACAAGGTATTGGTTGTTTCTGCAACAGGCTTCGACTCACATTCAGCTCCAGTGTCAGTGGAAGGCTCTTCAGGTTTTTCTGATGTTACTGGGGTTGGATTAATAGTATCTACCACTGAATTATTGTCTTGAACAGTACTAATATCATCGGATGTATTTTCAGGTTTCAAATTCTTTTCTCCACTTTCTTCTGATGCCGGTTCTTCTGAATGCTGGTGATGATGTGTATGAACAAGTTCATCTCCATTTTTCGGAGGTTCAAACCATCTCCATGTGAGTATTCTCGATACTTTACCCTTAAGTGGCTTACATCCACATCGTGGACACAGCCAGACTCCTTCGGGGATATTAGCTAGGGGTGGAATCAAGCAACCAATGTGGTAACTAGCAGGACAGTTATCACAACAAATAAGGTCACCACCATCTCTACATTCAGTACAAAATTCTTGGTGTTCGTCTTTCTCAGGTGACGGAACATGAGCTGCAGAAACAGTTTTACCATTCTTATCTGATGTAACGGCCGCATCGGAACCACTATCTTCACATTCTTTAGGTGCTTTTGAAACTGACGTGATGCCTTCCTTTTCACAATGAGGACAAGACCAAGTTCCTTCAGGGGCCTCTTCCAATTCAGGATCTAAACACACTAAGTGATATGCACGGGGGCAAGTATCGCACAGCATTATTTCACCTCCCTACATAAAAAAATAAAATTATTATCTTAAAGAACTCTGTAGAATAATGAATGTTTAAATATTGTGTAAACTAACCCAATATTGAAAGTGCATGCATTCTGAATGTACGTAACTTACCTGCTGACAAACTTCACAGTAATCCTGATGATCAGTTTCATAACCTTCTTCCTCACCTATCCTAGCGACAGTTCGTGCAACAACAAGGGGAAATCGCGCAGTAGTCTTCTGGTGAGTATGACTTATTTTCGTTGACAGATAACTAGTATCAGATGACTTCGCTCCAAGTCCACTTCCGCCAGAACTAGGTCGCTTCACTGAACGCTGCTTACGTCGATCACGTTCTTCATCCTGAGCCAGTTCAGCTTCTTCTAACTGACGTTCAAACTCTTCATCGCTGGTATTATGACCTCCAACAGACCGCTCCTAAACGAAACGTTAGGAAATAATATATTAGGATAAGACTATGAATGGATTCTTAAATAACGTATAGGTAGATAGAACTAATAAATTCAACGTTGCGAACTGCTTGCATCAGCATTATTCTACACTAAACCACATAGTAGCTAAACACTGAGAACAAACCTAATAAGCGGTAGATGTAAAAATTACCGAGGATTATGTAACTTTCCAAAACGAATGATGAAGGGCACAATAAAGCTGACTGACTAACTGCTTTCAACGTAGAACTTTGCACTGATGTGCAGCAGTTCGAGTCGCCACACCGCATGTAGCACACAGAGTAAGAGAAGAAAGTAAAGAAAGATTCAAAAGAGAGATATTAGGCAGAAATATGAGGCGAAAAGAATAGTGATATGGAAGAACAATAGAATTTTATTGGATATTATGAATCACAAGGGGTAGATGCGTCTGAGCCATCACCGAGAACGATTTTGAACCGTATCACCAATTGTCTCCAGCTATTGGTTTTTACCATCCCGAGGACAACAACCAAACAGCAGTCTACACCTCTCTATATAGCTGACTTAAACTAACTGTTGTGGATTTCATTGACTGAGGAAGCCATGTTTTAATTTGACCACCAATGGCTCTTTTCCAACTTGATCCTATGTCAGTCAGCTAACATCTTCCGTCAAGGAAGGTGATCGGTGGCTAGACATACGTAACACATGTCCTAACCATCTCAATCGGAGCAACTTCACAACCTCGTTGATTGATTTCCCCTCCTTACCTAGCACTCGACCGATGCCTAACCTCAATATTGCTCACCTTATTATACCACTTAAGATGGGAGATAGAATGCAGGCACCTATGTTCAAAGACAGCGAGCCTGCCGAAGGGTGAGGATATGATCAATACACCCTCCTCCTGGTCTAAAGCTTGCATGGTTCTTTCGTGTTTGTTCCTCCCGAGCACCGCTTAGTCTTTGCTTGATTATTGAGCCTAGAAACTTAGTTACCATACTGATCAAGCTAATCCTCCTGTGATTATCACAGGAAGACTTGTCTCCCTTCTTTCATATCGGGATAATCAATGACTTACACCAGACCGACGGGACTTCCTCTGATTCCCAGACACTGCCTAATACCTTAGTTAACGCAGGCAGTAAACTGTCTCCGCCACCCTTAAACATCTCTGGAGTCATTCCATCGGGACCCGCTGCTTTTCCTCATTACAGACTAGTGACAGCTTTTGCAGCCTCAGGGACGGAGGGCCTGTTCGCATCCCATTCAGGGAAGTGTTGGATGCTGGGTAAGTTGAGAGTGGCTGTAGGCCAATTAAATTGCCCCTCAGGGTGTTCTTTCTGACTTTCCAGTCGTCTATCCTGAAAGCTAATTAGGGTGCCATTTTTCTCAGTTTGTTTCACTTATCATTTGCCTTTTATCACCTGTTTCCCTGATAAGCCCAAATAGTTGTCTGATTACCAATCGCCGATGCCTTTTCCATCTTTTTTGCTTTTGTCACCCGCCACTGTTCACGGTCGTTGCGAAAACTTCATGTTAGTTTTCGTTTGAGCAGCTTTCGCTCATCATATTCGGAGGCCGCCGGTCTTTTCAGTCTTTTCGCGTCCATCAGTTCGGATGAGGTGGTAGAAATCCAATGGCTCTTACTAACTTTTGGTTTTAAGCAATTAACAGTCTTCACAGCTGTGTCTACAGCTAACTGTATGTTGTGTCAGGCCTCTTCAGGAGTCCTGACGTCAACCTCGTGTCCTCATGAAGTTGGTGGCGTAATTGCTTCGCTGCCAACATTTTTGTGTCCGTTTAGTCGTAAGCATAAAAGTGTGTGAACCAGGGCATGATCGGAGTCTAGGCACGTGTTCCAGAAGGAGTGGCAGTCTTCTACTGACCCTCGCCAACGATACCCTGTCACTAGGTGGCATATTTGAGTCCAAAGTTGATTTGGTGATGGAGGTCGCCAGGTCAGGCAATGTCTGTGCCTAAAGTTAGTGCTGACTAGGAACAGATGATTATCTGAACAGAACTGTAGAAAATGATCACTGTTGTAGGTCCATCGGCAGGAATTCCGTACGTACCAACCATACACTTCTCAGTCTGGCATAAGTTTCCTACTTGGGCATTCAAGTCGCCTGCTAAAACAACTATATCTCAGCGTTCTGCTTTTTGCAGTAAACTAGACAGTTTCTGGTAAAAATCATCCTTTAGTTCATCCGAAAAGCAGCCGGTCGGGGCGTAAGCGGAGACTATGAAACGACAACGATAGGTAACGCACAATAAAGCGATACCTATAGAAGCTCAAAAGCATAGAAACAAGTTGCCAAACTACTCATTCAAATCCGTATTTCGAAAACCAGCTATGAGAACTTGTAAGATCTAGATCACAACAGTTTTGATACAGAAACAGATACTATATTGAACGTTACGAAATGAAATGTTACCCAAGAACCATATGTATCCTCACGCAGCTAGCAATGAGCCACACCTGTGTGGGGGCTAACAATACATTTAATTTCAGAAACCTAACCAGGTGTAGCAAGGTTCGAACCCCTGACCCAGCGGCTGGCAGTTATAAATATGCCTCAAAATTCACACACCTGAATGTAAGTTATAGCACTAATGTTTTACATCCAAATGAAGTACTTCACATATTTCGGGTCATACCAGCCCTAATGGACTGGTTGATGACAACATACCAGCACTGATTCAAAAGACTCATCTGATATTTCTCAACTTTCCTCATCTATCTTGATGGCATCAAACAAGTCACCTACCTACAACAGTGCCTGCTCTCAACACCGTAGTTTCACATGGCAACTGATATAGCCGTTAAAACAAAGGAAGATTAAAAACATAAGAAGTCCATCACCATAAGGACCTTTATTCGATTACTTGGGTAGATATCATGAATCGTGAAGATTACACAGATGTGTCACATATTTCTCGACACAGAGGAATTCTCTAAACCCATTAATGAAAGAAATAGGACTGAATTAATTGAGAAGCAACTCGCGAAAGCATGAATGGGATTGATGAACAAACACTTGATTAGGGAGGAACTCATACAAGGATTACACCAATAGTCTTAAATACCGAGAATACACAAAACTGAACAGCCACTACGCCTATTCTGGACGTGTAGATGCCCTTGTGATAGAATAGCAGGGAGATCCGCGAAACCTTAACGCTTAATCGGAAAAGTAAATGATAAAAACCTAGTCAAATTATGCTCAAAAATCTTTGAGACTTTCAAATTTCTGAAACTGTGGCAAAGCTTAGCTTCAGCCAACTATTTCAACAAGGAAATTGACCACTCCCATGACAGAACTCATAGTGATCGAACCTCAGTACCTGTGACATTTTAAGCAACAAGCAGAGTGGTAATGTTCCCCTCGGATGATCTGAGAGCAAGTTATATTAATACTTCACTTATGAATGAGTGGTGGTTATACAAGTTAGCTACAGAAAGTACACCTTTGTTTACACCTAGGTTCATAAAAGCACTTTTATTGATACAGACCATACAAGCGTTGCAACCGATAGGTCAATTATTCATTGATGAATTCAGTCGCACAACATACCGAACCCTGTTTCACACAATTGTTTAATAGGTATAACCGAAAATATCGCATTGCGTTTACACATTTCAACTGTTCAAATGAATCCTACACAACACTTAACCTCCTGAAACTGTTTTGCAACCAAATTTATTACTAGGAAACAATGAGCTCAAAAGTACAACATAAATCAGCACTTTTCACTATTTGAAACGATACTTAACTGTAAGTTGCAAATGCCTACAAAAACCCACATACAATACAGAAATGAAAGATAATCATGGGTCACAAAGAGTGGGCAGGAGCCGATCTGCTTATTAATGTTACGAAAACTTATGTGCACAAATCACTTATTGAAAGTCAACAGTTTAAACCAGCACACTATACCTTTATATAAACTCATGCAATGAACAAAACCCAATAAAAATTACCTTAGCACAAAAATCAAGCCCCCTACAATAATAGTCAATACAGGTACTCACTTCAGCTTTCTTTCGACCACGCCTCCTCTTCTTTTTGCTTATGCGTATTTTCAACGGAGGAGTTGTAGCCTGCACCGGAACAGGTGAAGGCGGAGGAGACTGGCTTGCGGCTTCACTTCCACCACCCCCAGAAAGTGGTGTGGCATAACCAGTTGAAGATATCTGGGCTGTATGTTTTCCGACAACTCTACGTCTTTTGAAAGAGACGCTTTGAACGCGGACATCTGAAGTGTCATCATCTTGTGTCTCAGTGTCTCCGTCATCAAAATCATCATCCAAGTCTAAATACATCCAGTAAACATAAAAGTTAACTTCTACCTTCCTCCCCTTTTGGAATATATGGGTTCATGATAGCAAACTCTTTCCACTTCGCATCCAAAACCTTCTGAACATCCTCTTTTGACGCATTTGGGTTTTTGTTAGAAATTAGGGGACGAACGTATTGATCGAACAACTTCTGAATGGTCCAGTTCTCGAAGTCTTCAGTTGAATATGTCATTTCTACATCTTCAATACCTAACTCTTCGCATAATTGATCTACTGTTTTTTCTTTCTGGAAAGCTAGGCATTCAAAACCAACAAACCTTTGAAACGCGATCTGAACGTCTTTTGGGTGTGACTATGGAAGGGTCATCTTCATCCTGCGGAATAAAATGAACAGATTAATTAGTGATTAAACGATTGGTGTACCCTATGTTTCGCCTTCAGACGTTTCTTGGACCCTCTAGCCTCACTCTTCTGTCGGCGTCTTTTCCCTCTTTTTCCCACAGAAGCGTCTTCGAATTCTACTAAAATCAAAAGATACATGGTCAAAAACCTAAAAAAAAACTTACCCCCTTCCATTACAAGTTGAAATGGTGACAGACACCAGTCACAACACAAACAATATATGATACAATGTCCAATTTCCTGTTAAATGCATAAAACTTCAAATCTCTCGTAAAAAATGCGGTGAAACAGATACTATTCGAGTAAATCACTTTTCGCTTGTTTTTGGGGAAAACCTGGATCCCTTTTTCATGTTTCTAAAGTTTTCGAATGCTAATTCGTATAATCACACTAGGGCTCTGAACGGAGTAAGGAAGACACTAAAAGTACTAAATGATTCTCAGAGATATATCTACTTTCAGGAAGCAGCCGCCGGACCGGATACCTATTACACAAACATGAAGGGCTGACTTACGCGGATAGGTGCAAAATATACGGACTTCAGCCACTTTGGTTAAGGCGCCTGGAACTCAACCTTACATTCCTTTTTCGCCTTTTAGACGGCTATCTCAAAAGCAGTAATCCAATAGCTTTCAATAATTTAACCATATATACTCTTAGAAATCATGAAAATACTCTATCCATAACCCGGTACCGGACAAAACTGCGATCACGTTTCTTCAAAATACAGTACAGTGCATTATGGAACGAACTTCCACTTAATGTACGTAGTTGCCGATCTCCTACTGAATTCCAGCGTCTCCTTAACGAGTTCTTGTCAACAATAGAGCTTCGGTCTACTTATCCATACTTTACCCATATGGGCTGTTCATCTAACTTTGGTACTACAGACCCCAGTGCAATACCCCCAATTTGAGGAAACTCATTTGCCCCAGCAACAGTACCGCACCTAAAACGTGATAAAACCAACCCAATTTCTCCCACATGCCTTGATCTAAGGCTCGGTTATTCAGCTTATTGGAGATCTTATCAATATTTCATCAATCGGGTTTATAAACTCATAAGACTATCTGTAATTATCCTGGACGTATAATCCCAAATTAGTTGTAATAGTTCTTCCATAATATAAGCAAACTGGTAATTTGTAATGTCTAAAGCATGCCATATGAAAAGTGGCCAGGAAAACCTAGCAGTAACAAACTCAGCCAACCAACCATATTCCCCAAGCTCATTCAACCTAACCTTATCATTAATCGTACCACTATCCACTACACTCTACTCAGTAGATTATGACTTAATTTGCCCCAGTACTGAAAACTCTTCTACCTTTTACTTTTAAAGATGTTCTAACTACTAACTGCGCAGTAACCGTTTAACTAACTCACTGATTTTCTCTTCACTGTAATCTTCAATAAGTTCGTCAGTATAATTATTTCCATAAACAATTACATTAGCAACCATATCTTTTAATATTTTACATATATGCTTATACTATTAGCACTATTTTTGAGTTGAAATGACTATCTTCAGTCAACACCTACCCATTTTCATATAATTTTCTGAAAAATTCATAATGTTGAAATTATGTAGTATTTCTCCATTATATAATTAATGAGTCGCTTTGCAATGTGTAACGCACACCATAATAAATCGGTCATGAAAATCTAGCATAACAAGTTCTGCTAACCAGTTGCCTTACTCAGGACCACTTTACATAACTTTATCACTAATTGTTCCATTACTCGTATCACTGATAAATAGAATATAACTTAGTTGTTCTAATATTAGCTATTTTTATACTTCATAACACTTAAGGGAAACCTAATTTCTTAGTCTTTTGTAATAGCCCACTTGTTCACTAGTATGGTGATAATACTGCTAACAATGTCCTCTGGTATTATTGTGCCATGTGACCTAATGGGAAGCACTTGTCATGAAAGCTGTTAATGTGCAGCATACTGTATGATTGGGACAGTCAGAGCAACCCAATATTACAACTGCAGTCATTGTAAAAGGTCTCAGAGCTTAACATCAAAAAAGGAGGTAGGGTGGCGCATGCTGATCAGCAGATTTGGTAGTGGTCACAAATGTGAATCGCTCCGATCTGTAGGACAGCAACATGCATTATTTTGGCAGCTCGAGAAATAAACATGAGTTTAGATACTGAATGTATAAAAAAAATTAGACTTAAAAAAATTTAAAAACTGAAACATTAATGACTGTACAGATTTAACTTATAAAAAAATAACAATGCTTTCGCTCCTAACATCTACAGGCCTGCTCAGTTTCTTGTCAAGATGCTATCCCATGGGCCATACACAAGTTCGCCAGACATCCTAAAGGTCACCATATTCAACAGGTTCTAATCCTTCTAGCCACTTCTCTCTGAAATGTCACTTATATACTTCACGATAATCCTTCTACCTAATTACTATTATACTCTATTTTATCTCAACTTCCTAGGACTTTAATAAAGCTGAAATTTTTTTCTTTTCCTTCTTCTCATTTACACCCTTTTCTCGCGTAAAGTTCGGTTGCTCTGATGATAAAAAAACAACAAAAATACAACACTCATGTTTGAGAATAACTATATTTTCATAGAAAACGTCATAGTTTTCCATGGTAAGACCAATATGGTTAGCATCATACATTGCAAATGTGTATTATCATTTCAAGTACTACATAGCTTCTTGTATTTATCTTGTAAATATACTTTTAATAATGCATTATTCATAATTGCATTCTATACCATTTTGCAGCTGCGCTAGATTTTCTTCAGTTCCTAAAATAGCGTTCAAGCATTTGAAGGCATAGCACTCACTCAAATATATGTTGTTTATCGATTGGCCATAACTATCATCAGGAAATGGAACGAATTTCGGGTTGTCGCTCAACTTCGATGGTGACCTTAGTGAAATATTTACAAATTAACATTTATAAGAATCTGTTCCGATTGCTTGTACTATATAATTCAACAATATGAACTTTTTGAAAAAGTGATAATGTATGCTAATTAACAATTGTAATTCGTAACATAATTGATCGTGCCTGTAAAAATGGCATGCATTTCATATAAACTTACCCGTTTATACGAAATATATATTATTGTTATTAAAACTAATTGTCGAGTTCACTGCAGACAGCGTGACACTCTAGCTTGCTGGGATAAATAGTGATATCTCTATTGGCATAATTTTTGATCTTTGAAGAAAACCCCGTTCATTAATAAGACGGAGACTGAATATGGGATCAAAGAAAATCGTCGAACTGAACCTCAGCAGCTTTTTACCTATGCGGGAGGAAACACATGGTGGACAACTGTGTTTTCAATAAATAAGAACAAGTCCGTGCGCTCTGGTTGGATTGTGTATCTCTGTACTGCCTCTGCACCATAGTTAATAAGCACATCCATGAACAGCCGTAAGAGTTATATTCTCTCCTTTGTGGTTGGAATGGTGCTAACAACAGTCTGGCCACCAGTTTAGGAATTTGGGTCAGGCTAAAGAATCAGGAAATAGTGTGACCGAAGCTCAGGCCTGGCAGCACAGATGACCAGTCAGCAACCACGAGCGTTATTTCTAGCTGAAGCTAATGGTCAGTGAGCATGAAGTCATCCTAACAGCGTAAACAGTTGATTCCCTAAAATTGGTTAGCCCAGCGAGATCAATGCAGAATTTGCCTCCTATTGCTCTATATCATCATCCCACACTCACCATGCTGCATCGTAGTGATCCCTGTCATCAACTGCAAAATGGTAGTAGTTCTGGAAGCGACTTCAAACCAGTTCGATGAGTTCATACAAGCTGGTAGTATCAAAATGCTACTGGATGATGGATACATCCACATAACAGGAAGTAACCTGATGAGTTTCGACCTACTTTGAGTTTTTTAGCAATACGCATAATAAGACCATCTCAGACTTTAGTCCAGAATTCATTTTGATCAAGCACTTAACATTTTCATGAAATTACTGTAAATTTCATGGTAAATCAGGCATGCTAAGGTTATTCTTATTCACCATATTTTTGCTCAAAGTAGTTTAGTCTTCTACATAATCGAGAATAATATTCACATGAATGCCTAAGATAGGGCAAAACGCAAACATGGATAGGCATGCTGCATTCATGTAACATTGATTAATGAAAGACTCGACCTAACATCAACCAGTTAGACCACACCAACGAAACATTGAGCAGTAGATGTGCGTTACGAAGTTATTTTTATGTCTAGGAGACGCCAGGTAGTGGTCTCCTGGTTTCTGGGGTAACGCATCACTAATGCTTTGTCTCTTCCAAAATGGGTGGTCTGAACTTAACAACTGCTTGCGTGTTTCTATTAGCAAACAAAGTTCTACTCTTCATCACCAAACTTTATCTTCTTGCTTTTTTCAATTTCTATAAACTCTGTGACCATTGCCAATGAGTTGAGCCAGAGAAATACTTCTCCAAGTCTCTTAAAATCACTGCTAACTTCATATAAGAGCTCTCAACGTCCGAACCTTATATAAACCTAATGTAAAATTAGACAACATGTCTCACTAACGGAAACTCTGATGTCTTGCATTTTAGGTTTATTTTATGTCTCTGTGAGACGCTGACACGTAATCCAAGTGTAGTTGTCCACTCGGTCCCACCTGGCGAACATAGTGATGCTTCATAATCCACCGTGCGGGGTGTCAAGAGATTGTTTGGTACCAGTGAACTCGCTGGTGTGAGGATACTACCATGTTCAAGAGCATGAAAGCCGCTACTTGAGTGAAATGTAATAGACGGTCATGTGTGTGTGTCTCGGTCGAGTGTATCCGTAATAATGAGGAAACGATATCATAATCAAAATTGTCCTCAGGTATCCTCTACAATCTTCAACAAGATGGATTGGCGTATGTGTTTCTAGAAACAATTATATTAGCAACCAAGCCTTCCAATAATTTACATATATATTATTGATAATGCACTGCTATTTTTGTATTGAGATGAGTGTACTCACTCATTTAATCTTCTATAATGCCTAATTTTATGATATTTTGTAGTACTTTTTATCCATAATATAGGTTGATGGGTTACTTTGTAATGTTTAACACATACCATATGTAAACCGTTCATGAAAATTTGGCATAACAAGTTCTGTTAACCAGCTGTTTTCCTCAGGATCATTCTACATAACTTTATCACCAC